GGTAACCTACAGATCAGTTAAGTGAGGAATGGGGACGTAGCCTACTGATCAGATACGTGAGACATGGGGGGGCAGCCTACAGATCAGGTAAGTTAGGGATTGGGGTCAGTCTACAGATCAGGTAAGTGAGGGATGTGGGGGCAGCCTACAGGTCAGGTAAGTGAGGGATGGGGGGCAGTCTACAGATCAGGTAAGTGAGGGATGGGGGGGCAGCCTACAAATTGGGTAAGTGAGGGATGGGGGGAGACAGCCTACAGGAAGGTAAAGTAGAAGGAGCAGAAAGGTTCTGCAAGGGGCAGGAGGGGTCAGCAAGGAATAGGAAGGAGCAGGAAGCGGCAGCAAGAACCAGGAAGGGTTAGGAAACGTTTGCAAGGAGCAGGAGGGTGAAGGAGCCGGAGGGATCTGCAAGGGGCAGGAGGGATCTGCAAGGAGCTGGAAGGGGCAGAAAGAATCAGAAGGGGCACAAAGGTAAAGTAGGAGAAGGAACAGAAAGGGTCAGCAAGGAGGAGGAAGGGTCTGTAGTGTGCAGGAAGGGAAATCAAGGCGCAGAAAGGGTCAACAATTATCTGGAAGGGGCAGAAGGAGCACAAAGGTAAAGTAGGAAAAGGAACAGAAATGAGCAGCAAGGAGCAGGAAGGGTCTGCAAGAAGCAGGAGGGCGCAGAAAGGGGCAGCAAGGAGCAGGAAGGGTCTGCAAGGAGCAGAAAGGGATCAGAAAGAGAAAGGAGCAGAAGGGGGAGCGCAATAAGCAGAAAGTAGCAGATGGTGCCAAGGAGGAGAGAAGACAGTGTCAAATGAAGGACAAGAAAATGAGATTGGAGCAAGAAGGACAAGTGAAGTGATTCTGCTGGCACTCTAAGCCAATTAGTAGCTCCCCATTCATAAAAACTTTAAAAAATATATGAATCGGGAACTAGCAATTGACTTAGCGCGTCAGCTGACCACTCTAGCCAATCAGCGGCACCCATGCCTGACATCAATCTTCACTACCTTTGAAGCCGAATACCAATGAGCGACCTGGAGATCTGGAGCTGGAGGAAGCCTTTGGGGTTAAACAATTTAAGAGCGGTTTCACCCCTTAAAGTAAAGAGAGCACCCAGGGGCTTCCTGGCATCATAGCATTTTCATTTAGATGAAGTTATGATGACCAGAATATTCCTTTAATTTGATTAAAGGAACACTACAGTGTCAGGAAAACAAACATGTATTTCTGACACCATAGTTGTGAATAACGGCTTTATGTGATAATGACTATGCTCCTCCCTTTCATGACACTGTTAAAAAGGGGCCAAGCATGGATGTCATTACAATTATGCCCCCTGGAAAAATTCCTGCGGACACTCATGGCAGTTAGTGGAATGAATGTGGCCGTAAGATATCATTCTCATATCAACCATAAGAGAAGATCCAACAAGCCCATGGTAGATATTACCGGAGTTAATGCAGAAGCCTTAAAGGGTTACTCCAACCACCTGGTCAGAAGTACGACTGAGATTGACTGAGGAGTCTATATGGGATAGTTATAGTGCCTCCTTACTGACCAGATTAGTGCAATATAGGAATACTGTAAGATCGGTTGAGCAGGGACCTCAAATATCTATTGTTCCTGTTACACTTCGTTATTGTCTCATTTGTTAAATTCTCCTTTTATCTTAAAGCGCTGTGGAATACGCTGGGGCTGTATAAATACCAATAATAATAATACTCTGTCAAAAAATTACTTTGAATCAAGTTCTCTACTGACCTCTGCTGACCTTTGAGAAGTACTACAATTCTCAATTAAACTATTAGTTTATTTTGTGTTGGGTTTACTATATGCTAATGCACAATTTGTATAATAAGTACAGCATTTGCACTTATATATATATCGTTGGTAACTTGATTCACTTTTATTCCCTCTTAATTTGTTTGGGTACAGAAACCCCGAGTGGCACAATTAGATATTTTTCTTGGGCTAGAAGAGTATTTTAGAAAAGGGAATTTCGTTATTACTGCAGCTACTTTAATTTATATGAAGTTTTAACTAACACATTGAAATTGGGAATTATCCTGCATTATTTTAGTAGGTGGCTCGATCACAACTAATAATCAACACCAAGGTTGTGCACACATTAATTATGCAAAAAAAGGATCTTTTTAAAAGTTTGTTACACATATTTCTTTCTTTTTGAGTTATAATCTGAATTTACACTTGTACATTATGTATCTCCTAGATTATATTTCCAGATCGCATTGGCAGTCTGTTGAAGTTACCCCAGTATTCTAGTTGCTCAAATTGTTAACAATAATTGAAGTAATGCATGCTTTATGGCTAAGAAGCAGTTTGATTTACAGTACAAACATATATTACTATGAAAATTCCAAACACCTTTAAGCTATTAAATCCAATGCCTTTTATTCCATATCCAGATTAATTTATTAGCCAAAGATTTCCCTGTGAAGCCTTAATGACTGAATAAGACTCCACAGGGAAATATGAACAAATCGATTTGTCTAGAATAAAAGGCATTTGATTAATCTGGACCAGCCGGACCTAATATTTGCACAACTCTGTTATCATTTTGGTGTGATATGTTAGGCATACACGCCTCCTTCTGTAAATTGGCTAACCCCTATGGCATGCTAGATTGCCAGTGGGTCAAAACCACACACAAGTTGAGGGCAAACTGTGCATTAATGAACAAGCCTGCTGATTTGGCTTTATGGCAACTTGGTTACATATATATACAGCGAGATCCGTGTTCCAAAAGCGCAGTATTATTCTACAGACATAGCTACACCAACATAATAGTCTGCAAAGCTACTTTAGACCATACTGTTAGATCAATAGCAATAGTGAGAAACTAACCTAACTCAAGCTCTGACCAAGCATGTATATAGTATATCTACAGTCAAAACTACAATGCTAAAACTGCTTATACTCTTAGACCATATTTTCAATCTACTACGGTATTCGTATGCTTAAACCTGTTTAAAATATAAAATTGTGCATGTTAATCTTGTGCCCCGCATGTTTTGCGTGGGAATAGCTAGAGGACTGCCTTTGGGGCACCTCCAGCCTGTATGTGTCATATCTATACTCTACAAAAAAAAAAGGAACAAGCTACTATTGAATTCTATATTTTTAGCTCTCATATCACCCTGATTCCAATACACTTCAGCTTAAACTGGAAATGTTATTAAACCTTACGTCTCAATGACATAACAATCTCTACAAAATCTTTTGTTCCCGGCATGGAATGTCCTAATCATTTAGTGTTACCAAGGCTTGCTAACACTGCTGATGCTTAATAAGCAGCACAGACCATGCTGGGTAGGGCTAAGGACCAGATTGTGAGAACGTCATGAAATCCAGTTACATTAAAACCCTTTAAAATACAATTACACGTGGGATCATCTCATACTGAACTGCTCTTATTGGACACTTGAATTGTTATTGTATATTTCACTTACTACCATGGACGTACGCTGGATGGATCATCAACACAGACACATTTACAGATTAAATCCCAGAAGGACAGGAATAAAGGATTGACAACTAATACAAGGAATAATCTGGATACTGATTTCAAACCTTCTGGTGTGTTACAATGTACTTCACTGGAGTAAAAAAAAATGTTTAACAACAAAATCAAAAACACCAATATTCAAAACATTTGAATTGGATTTATAACATTAAAATCTATAAACACGTCACTTTTTTCTGCCATTATGTATTACCGAATAATTGTTATTTTTGATATGGTTACACTTCACTGAGTGTCAAAGTTGAGGCGGTGATTGTAAACTTTCTCTTGCGTGCCTTGACCAGTCCATAAGAAGGATTTGCAATAAACAGATGTGGAATGTCTCATGCAAGATTTAATAGAAATATAGGGAGTTGTATATAAAAAGTGTTGCGGCTGTTTTCAAGCAAACGTTTTGTTGCATTTTCTGTTTGCGCCAATATTTTCTTTAATCTGTCCTTCCCGGCAGTTTTGTTCTATGTCTAAGATTAGTCTAGGACTGACAGTACATATGTTAGATTTAATTAGTTATATCCTCCTGGGAACAGAAGAACAGAATTGTCTTCCAATTTCTTTTTTTTTTTTTTTACGATTTCCTACCCTACTCTACACTCACCCCTTGGCCCCTGGATCAGGTGGCCAAAGGGTATGTGGACAAGCAGAGGCTATTTTTACTTACCTGAATTTGTCATCCCTATCTGGATGGTCCTTTTGGCTACTCTAGCCTTACATTTTAATGAATAAAGTACATGGTTTAAAATGGGATTTAGGATGCATTGTTATCCTGTATACATTGCTGTTCTGGGATACCTATAAAATGTATTTACATTTAGTGGGTATTTTATTCATTCATTGTCTACAGAATTATTGGGAGAGTAAAACATATTAAGTATTATATTGCATTCTTATCTCATGGTATTTCAGACTGGGCCTGAAATATTAACATAAATGAACAAAGCCAATTATTGTCATATACCGACGTGATGCAATACTTTTAATGCCAATAGAATGTAAAATAAAATATCTGCATTTGCATAATGCCCACATGTACTAAGTATGGTTACATCAGCCGACCGTTGCATCATGTACTAGTGTGCCTAGAATCCTTGCAGACTACTAGAATGCAGCCATTTACAATCCCTCTGCAGAGTTGTAGAGAGATGGATTGGACCCAGGGAGGAGACCTGTTATTTTCTTTGCTGGATAAAAACTAGCAATGGAGGAAGTAAAATATATATAGGGTTCTAAAGTAATGCAAAACAGTGTGCACTTGTACAGACATTGTCGGGAGGAAAGGGGTTAGCCAGTCTATGGGAAAGGCTTTGTCTCAGGAGCAAAGAAACATAATTTCAGTCTGAAAATTGTCACTTTGGACTAAAAATGTGACTGTTTCAGGGAGTATGTTTGTGTAACTGCCTGGGAACATCCAGCTGTTCTGCTAATACCTTGCGTATTTTACCCAATCAGCAGGTGCCTGGTCTGCCCCTTCTTATCTCTTACTCCGAGTGTCCCTCATAGAGTTTCAGTGTCCCATTTCAGAGTGACGCCTTTCCCCACTAACACCTGCAAATGGCTTTCCCAAGCTGGCTACTTTTCTCCTTCGTCCTTCCCTCCTTTCTACAAGCACAGGATCAGCCTGCTCACCGCAGGTTTGAGTACAAGTACAGCTTCAAGGGACCTCATGTCACTCTCCCTGATGGAACCGTGCCCTTCTGGGACTTATATGGAGGTAACGAACCCCTTGGTTCTCTTTAAATACCATATTGTAATATCTAAGTATCATGCTCCCTGGTTTACAACATATAGTGCCTGGATTAATCAACACAGTAAAGGAGGAGACATTATTTAAAAGAAGAAAAACTACCACAACAAGAGGACATAGTCTTAAATTAGAGGGACAAAGGTTTAAAAATAATATCAGGAAGTATTACTTTACTGAGAGGGTAGTGGATGCATGGAATAGCCTTCCAGCTGAAGTGGTAGAGGTTAACACAGTAAAGGAGTTTAAGCATGCGTGGGATAAGCATAAGGCTATCCTAACTATAAGATAAGGCTAGGGACTAATGAAAGTATTTAGAAAATTGGGCAGACTAGATGGGCCGAATGGTTCTTATCTGCCGTCACAGTCTATGTTTCTATGATTACAACTCCCTTGTCTAAACAGCCTGAGTTACAGAGTCATAGAAAAACGGCAGGCTGAAAAGTTCTTAATATATCATTTTCTTATCATGCTTTGTTGTAAAAGAGTTAATAGTAAATCTAGTGTTAAAAAAATTAAGATGTTCATTCGCAATCGCCGTCATTTCTTTTAGCTTCGACTTTTCTTGAAAATTGAAAATCCTAAATAAAAAGAAATTCTTGTAATTACTATAAATCTTAAATTGTATACAGTTTGTTCTATAAATTGGAACATACATTTAAAAAAATAAGGAAGCTTTTTTTTTTTTTCTTCAGGCAATCCTGAGTCACTGTCCAAAATTCTGAAATTCCGCTACAATATTTAGTTGTGATTTTTAAACCAATTAACAAAATTGGAGTGCAATGGGAATATTATATTTGTGAAATTTCCTACGTAATTTCGATGCTCTGGTTAGAAATGAACCCGAGCATGTGACCTATACTTAATTTTACAGAAGAGAGAGTCTCGCAGAAACCTGCTTGCTTTGAATTGGTTAATTTGTGGGGACATGTTTACAGCGGCTTCATGCCAAACTGTAGAATGTGTAACAGCTGAATATCAAACTGCAAATCTAAAAAAATCTGTGATATGAGCAAAATGGGAATTCATAACTGCTGGGTGTATAATTAAGGTCTATGAAAAATGTAACACAGACGCAGTTATATGTTGCTTTTGGTGCCTTTTAACTTAAATACTAGCTTGATATTTCGATATTCTTCTGATAAAAGACCCTTTTAATATTTGAAAAGACCTAAATAAAATCTCAGAGGCAGCGTGGTGTGGTGTTGGCCAAAGTTTTATTTTCTTTATATTTTTCAAAAAACTTTATTTGTAATCAAAAAGAAAGAGCAGTAAAAAAAAAAAAAAAGACATCTTCAAAATATGCATAACGTAAAAAGGGAAACCAGCGAAAAATAAATCCAAAACATCCAGTATTACTTGAAAGAGAAAGTGTCACGCTCCCTTGTGCACATAATACATGATTAAATTAAAAATACATATTTAAGAACAATAAATCAGAATCAAATATATTGTCAAGTAGGCCGGGAAGCAAAAACATATAATGAATTGAGCTAGTATAAATGGAAAAGATATACAGAAAACACATTTTTCTGACAAAAATCAAAACATAGAAACATAGAATGTGACGGCAGATAAGAACCATTTGGCCCATCTAGTCTGCCCAGTGTTCTAAATACTTTCATTAGTCCCTGGCCTTATCTTATAGTTAGGATAGCCTTATGCCTATCCCACGCATGCTTAAACTCCTTTACTGTGTTAACCTCTACCACTTCAGCGATTAGGGGCATGTCCCCTAAACAAAGTTAAAACTACTAGTGACTGGGCAGCTAATGTACATGGAACCAAAATTATAGTAAAAACGTTAATGTTGCAATATGAAAACGTAGCTATTTAGATCTAAATAGCTACTTTTTACACATACTCTTACCGTACTCTTTACACTTTCTACATTTATATCCTGTTTTAAATGACAGCAAGCAGCCAGTGGCTGCTTGCTGTCGTAAAACTAAATATATATCAGTATGAGGGTCACTATGACCCCCATATTGATAAAAGGGAGGTTAAAGCCTCCTGCATGCTGTGAGTAGGGGCCTGTCTCCTAAAAAGCGAGCAGCCAGTGGCTGCTTGCTGTCATTTAAAACATACCAGTGACTGGGCAGCTATTGCAAAATGTCCTTTATTGACGGATAGTGAATGCTTGGTCATATGAAGCCATTTATTATCACATAGTTGTTTGGCTCCTTTTTAAATAATAATGATAACAGAAATCACCCAAATGGCCTGAATCAAAAGTGTACATGTTTGGCCTTGTTACAGACACAGAAGGTGGCATACAGGTTAAAATGACAATTAAAGGTTAATTTCCCACACCTGTGGCTTTATAAATTGCAATTGGTGTCTGTGTATAAATAGCCAATGAGTTTGTTAGCTCTCTCACGTGGATGCACTGAGCCATGGGGAGCAGAAAAGAACTGTCAAAAATCTGTGTAACAAGGTAATGGAGCTTTATAAAGATGGAAAAGGGTATAAAAAGATATCCAAAGCCTTAAAAATGCCAGTCAGTACTGTTCTATCACTTATTAAGAAGTGGAAAATTTGGGGACCTCTTTATACCAAGCCAAGGTCAGGTCGACAAAGAAAGATTTCAGCCACAACTGCCAGAAGAATTGTTTGGGATACAAAGAAAAACCCACAGGTAACCTCAGGAGACATACAGGCTGCTCTGGAAAAAGACGGTGTGGTTGTTTCAAGGAGCACAATACGACAATACTTGAACAAAAATGTGCTGCATGGTCGAGTTGCCTGAAAGAAGCCTTTACTGCCCCAATGCCACAAAATAACCAAGTTACAATATGCCCGATGACACCTTGACATGCCTCACAGCTTCTGGCACTCTGTAATTTGGAGTAACGAGTCCAAAATAGAGCTTTATGGTCAAAACCATAAGCCCTATGTTTGGAGAGGGGTCAACAAGGCCCATAGTGAAAAAAATACCATCCCTACTGTGAAGCATGGTGGTGGCTTACTGATGTTTTTATTGGGGGGGAGGGGTGAACTCTAAAGGCACAGGGAATCTTGTGAATTGATGGCAAGATGAATGCAGCATATTATCAGAAAATACTGGCAGAGAATTTGGATTCTTCTGCACGAAGGCTGCATATGGGACGTTCTTGGACTTTCTGGCATGACAATGACCCTAAGCACAAGGCCAAGTTGACCCTCCAGTGGTTACAGCAGAACAAGGTGAAGGTTCTGGAGTGGCCATCACAGTCTCCTGACCTTAACCCCTTAAGGACAGATGACGGAAATATTCCGTCATGATTCCCTTTTATTCCAGAAGTCGTGTCCTTAAGGGGTTAATATCATCAAGTCACTCCAGGGAGATCTCAAACGTGCGGTTCATGCAAGATGACCCAAGACTTTGCATGAAGTGGAGGCATTTTGCCAAGACCAATGGGCCGCTGTACCACCTGCAGGAATAAGGGGACTCACAGACAACTATTACAAATAACTGCACGCTGTCATTGATGCTAAAGGGGACAATACACTGCATTAGGAAGTAAGGGTATGCAGAATTTTGAACAGGGGTCATTTCATTTTTTTCTTTGTTGCCATGTTTTGTTTTTTGATTGTGCCATTTTGTTACAACCTACAGTTTAATATGAATCCCATAAGAAAAAAAAGAAATATGTTTTGCCTGCTCACTTATGTTTTCTTTAAAAATGGTACCTATATTACCAATTCTCCAAGGGTATCCAAACTTTTGAGCACAGCTATATATAAACATATATATAGCTATAATATATATATGTATATGTGTGTGTGTGTGTATATATATATATATATAATTTGTTTACATACCTAACCCACCACTTTACTCTATTGAAGTGAGGGGTAAAAGCTATAGTAATTCCTAACTGGAGCTTAGGAAACCAATAATTCCTTAATGATTATCTCCTAGGTTTTTAGAGTAACCTTAAACAGATCATGGGATATTAATTTTGGAAATTCACACAAGTCCTTATCATGTAATATTTACCTGCAGATGCCATTCCTGGGCCAGATGAGGTCCGTCTTGTCCCATCTCTGAAACATCACAAAGGATCAATGTGGACCCAACTTAATGCGTCTTTTCCACACTGGGAGGTGGATGTGTCATTAAATATTGTGGGACGTACACGAGAGGGTGCGGACGGACTGGTGAGATATGAGGATATAACATTCTGGGTCATTAAATAAATCTTGTTAGTTTAATTCACCGGGACCTTTCTACATTTTTGCTTTTCCGTAGTGTAGTATAGTGGCTTCTTTCTCTTTGTTAAATAATCTTTACTGACCCTTTTTACTTACATGGGTACACATTTTATTCTAAAACACTGCCCCTCTTTTAGACAACTTAAGGGAACACTCTGAGCACCATAATTACTTCATCGAAATTATGTTGTTATGGTGCCAGAAGGTCCCTGGAACTTCCTCACCGTAGGGGTTAAGCCATTCACATAAAGTCATTTTTTTATGAATGAACTAGTAATTGACTATTGGCTTAGAGCAAATCAGCAGTGCCCCTGGCCAGCGGAAGTCTGTGATTCCTCTAGCAGAATTTCTAAAACGTGGATGTGGAACAGAGCCAGAGTGATAACTTTGAGGTCAAACTGTTCATTAAGGGACCTCCTGGCACCATAACAGTTTCATTATAATTAAGTTCCTTTAATGATATGCAAGCTTTTAGGCAGATGAATTTATGATTATACAAACCAGATGATGTAAATTAAAATGTATCTTATTAAAAATTATGTCTAAATAGAATATATTTTTCAACATCCAAAACTTTCATCACAAAATAATATGTTCCATAAAATTTATCAAGAGCTGCAATTATTTTAATGATATTGTCATATTCTGCCTCCCCCAGGCCATTTGGTACACAAGGGAACCAGGACAGACAGGTACGGTTTATGGCTCCGCTGACCAATGGGATGGAGTAGGAGTTATATTTGATACCTTCGATAATGATTTTAAGGTGAGACTATGGATCTGTGACTATAAAGTCAGTTAAAGTTTAAAAAATTCTACATTTTGCTTCACATCCTAGCAAATATCAGAGAGTTGCATACCTGTACTTAACTCCTTGAGTACACCTAAATGTATGTATACAAAATTACCAGATATATTACTAATTTCATGATGTAAAGTCATGATTTTATTAAGGACACGGAGGCGAGTATTATGCTTATCTCTTTCTTTATTCCTCAGCAGCCAAGAAAGGATACTTAAACATTCAAAGAAAAAGTATATAACATGTACTCCAAAGGGTTAACTACAGTAAAACATGGTATCCAATGAGATTGTTCCTAGCCCCATAATGTCCCATGTGACCTTAAGCCACTCCTCTTTCTTTGCTGCTGCCTCCTCAGCTAAGTACAATTTTACATACCCTCTGTATAACTGTATTGCCATGGATGTAAAAAAACAGATGTCCATGTCTTTTAATAAAATCAGCACATTTCTAGGATAGTACACTCTAGTCTAAAAGCTGACCAGAGATCACTTTTTCCCGAGTTACTAATTGAAATTGTATACACCTAGTGTGCATCTTCTAAAAGTGTCCATTAAGGAACTCTATTGTGTTAGGAATACAAAGCTGTATTCCTAACACTATAGTGCGCCTCTGCCCCCACAGCGCCTTATTGCTCCCTCCCCATGCAGCAGTCATCGATGGTGGAACAGATGTTCTAATGAAGAGCCTTACAATAGCTTATTATACACAATCATACACAGTCATATTTTACCAGATGTCAATGAAATCACGATATAAAATAAATTACTGATGACTGTGATAGTTACATCTGCCAGGGATGTGACCATCTCCTCACTGTTATGTGGCTCTGTAGAGGCTACCTGTAAGCTGGTCAGTTTACATTAACACTAGCAGACCCTATATAAAGTTTTAAAACATATATATTTTCTTATATTAAAGAAGCTAATATGTATTTCATTTTGTTTTTCCAGGGGAATAACCCAGCAATATTAATCATAGGGAACAATGGAAAACTCAATTATGACTATTCACAGTATGTACCCAATACTTATGTAACTTGTTTGTATAGTATCTATGAAATAATTGATAGCTCTTTGCATACATACTTGTTATCATACACTGATCAGCCACAAAATTAAAACAATCTGCTATTATTATCTATGTCCCCATTGTGCTGCCCAAACAGCTCTGATGCGTCGAGGCATGGACTCCACAAGACCTCTGACCATGTCCTGTGCTACCTGGCACCAACACATTAGTAGCAGATCCTTTAAGTCCTGCAAGTTGCAAGGTGGGGCCTTCATGGATCAGATATGTTTTTCCAGTAAATCCCACAAATGCTCAATTGGATTGAGATCTAGGGAATCTGAAGGCGCACCTTGAACTCTTTGTCTAGTTCATCAAACCATCGATGAGCATTATCTTGCTCAAATGCCGTGAAGGGCTGTATGTGATCTGCAACAATCTCTAGGTAGGTGGTACAGGTTAAAGGGTCATCCACATGAATGCCAGGACCCAAGGTTTCCCAGCAGAACATTGCCCAGAGCACAACACTGCTTTGCTGGCCTACCTTCTTCTTATAGTGCATCCTGCTGTCATCTCTTCCCCAGGTAAACAACTCACACACACTAGCAATCCACCTGATCTAAAAGAAAATGTGATTCATCAGACCAGGCAACCTTCTTCCATTGCTCCATGGTCCAGTTCTGACACTCACATCCCATTTGAACGCACTTTCGTGGGTGATATGGGTCATCATTGGCACTCTGACCAGTATGCGGCTATGCAGCAAACTGCGTTGCATTGTGTGTTATAACACCTTTCTACCATAGCAAGCATTAAGTTTGTCAGCAATTTGAGACACAGTAGCTCTTCTGTATGGTTGGACAAGACAGGCTAGCCTTCACTCCACACCTTCATCCATGAGCCTTGGGTGCCCATAACCCTGACGCTGGCTCACCGGTTGTCCTTATTTGAAACTCTTTAGTAGGATCAATACCTAAAGGTGGGTAGTGAGTAGAGGTCATTTATAAGTGCAATATCCTGGAAATCAAGCACACACAATCTGACACACATTTTATGTCGGATTGTGTGTGTGATTTCCGGGATATTACACACGGTGTGCGGGTGTCCGGGAACTTTATTAAACATGCAGGAGTCTCCCGGGAGATCTACTGGGAAACTTGGGATGTCTCACTAACCACTGCATACCAGGAGCACACCTCAAGACTTGTCGTGTTGGAGATGCTCTGACCCAGTGGTCTAGACATCACTATTTAACCTTGGCAAAGCCACTCAGATCTTTTGCTTGCCCATATTCCCTGCTTCCAACACATGAAATTCAAGAACTGACTGTTCACTTGCTGCCTATATCCCACCCCTTGATATGTGCCACTGTAACAATATATTCAATGTTATTTACTTCACCTGCCAGTGATTTTAATGTTGTTGCTAATCAGTGTAGAGCTGCACATTAATTTTATTTTTTCAGGGGTTGGATATGTTTATCCAGTGTAAACTTTCAGCTCCCAAATGACATGACTAACTTACCTCGCTCCTGTAGGCCCTTGCTTTTGGATCTCCTAGCAGAAGAACCTAGTTAGTTTAGCTGTGTTAAGAAGGACCATGCCGGGCCACTCTCATTGGCTGACAGCATCACTTGAATGATCTCAGCCTATGAGTCCTGTATAGGTATTGCTTAGCTTGCAGAGAGACATCTGGCTTTTTCTGCAGGAGAAGAATTAATGCAGCGTGGGTGCCTGGTGGTGGCTAGCCACCATAACCATTAGAACAGACTGCTTGGCTTATGGTTATGGAAAATCTGTTTTTTTTCAGATTTTAGTGTCCACTGAATTACAGGATTTTCCCTCCACATTTGGCAGGCTATTGTAGAAAGTTAGCAACGGTTTCTATACTAGTATACTACAGGACATGTGTTTATGGTGTATGATGGACTCTCTCATAGAATCCAATAGAATACTGTCCGGCATCTGTTCTCTACTGATCCATCCACTTATCTGACACCACAATGGGTTGCTTGAAGGTCTACTGCCAAGTGTAGGACCCTGACCAATTGCAGATCACTTGAGACTGTGGTAGAGCTGAGATCAGCTGACAATATAGTGACCATTTATATCTCTCTAAAGTCCATTCTCCTCCCTCCAAAGTCCATTCTCGTCCCTCCACCAACCTAGTCACTTTACATTCCGTCAGCATTCTAGAAATTAAAAATATAATCAAGAGTTAGTCAGCGGTTAGAACCCTTTTGTTGTGCAAAACATCATAGGAGTCATAGCTTTACTATATGTATAGTATACAAGCTAGAAAGGATAACCCACACTCACGGTCTACAAACTTTGTGCTAAATAGCGTCAATGTTTCAGTCCCCAGTCGGGACTCAAAGCAATATATAAAGAAATTGGATGAGGTTGATAATCCAGCGCCAGCTAAAATGGTTTAACCCATCCATATGAGAGGCATTGCAATATATAAAGTTACTAACAAATCATTACATATTCGGACTGACCGGAACATGTAGACATGCTATGTAGTTGTATTATGGTAACAGTATGACTTCATGAGGTTTATAGAGTCTGGTAGATGGGCTCTGGGTGTTAATACAATGATTTTCAGGAATATATGGGGTAAAAAGTAACAGTTCTGAACAGTAATCTGCAATGAGGCGACACAATTTAAGCAGGAATCCTGCAGACTAGATAGACCAGGTGGTTCAATGTCCCATTAATTCTATCTTTTTATGTTTCCTATTCTCTCCCTAGAGAGAAACATGCGCCATATGGCTGGCCCCTCCCCTGTCCCCTCCACTCCTACTCACAATATCCCCACGCACATATGTGCAGAACAGACTCCCCGCTACTGCCTGCTATTAATGCTTGCTTAAAATCCCTGCGTTAACCCTTGCACGTGAATCTGTCTCTCTCGTAACTTCCTCACTGAAAACTGATATATACAAACCTAAATATGTGCATATATTAAATATATATATATATAGAGCTATAAATTGGTCCCTCCAAAGGAGGCTGTGTGAATTATTGCTGGATAACCATTCACTAGAGATGTTTGAAATGTATACAGAGTTTTATTTTATTTTGATTTTTATACATTCTGTGTTGTTGCAGAATTTAGGACTGAAAAACTGGTACTATATAACAGTTCGGTGTTTTGATCTAAAACATGCAACTCACAGAAGTTGTAATTCTCCACCGTTTCCATAACTCCATGTGATGTCACAAACATAGATGTCCAAAGAATGCGATTACCACCAAAAAGGCCTGTGTATACAAACACTGGAGCAAAATGGCTACATGAATCAGAATGTGCAAAATTAACTTAATGTTTACACACTATTCTTTGCAGGTTTACAGATCAGGGATTTCTATGCTGTGTGTATATTTTGTCATACAGTTGTATACTCTGTACAGCATGGTATATTTCGTTATGGAGTTGTATACTCTGTACAGCATTGTATAAAGTATTATTGATTTGTATACTCTGTACAGCATTGTATAATCATTTTAGGGCCCCCACCCACCGCTCAGAGGTGGGAGTTGGGGGGAGGACAATAGGTCCCTCCCACTTATTTTACTTTAGAGCCCCCACCTGCCGCTCTGGGGTGGGGGCCAAGGGGAGGACAACAGGCCCCCCCCACTTATTTACTTTAGGGCCCCCACCTGGGGGGCATAATTTACTAATACTAAGTAATCTTTGCTTCGTATTAGTAAATTTGACTGAAAGACCAATTTAGGTCTTTCAGCCTTTTGGTAGTTAGCTCCCTAATACCGTGGGAATTAGGGAGTTATCTACTAAGCGGCTGCAAGAGAACATCCAAATTGCCGAAGTTCCAAATTTTGGAATGCCGAAACGAATATTTTCCCCATGCACATCCCTACTCTGTATAGCATTGTATAATGTATTATTGAGTTGCATACTCTGTGCAGTATTGTACAATTTGTTATTATTTTAATTACTGATAAATAATCTTTCATCTGATATTTTAACCCTTCACAGCGATGGAGTAAGTCAAGCTCTAGGCTCCTGTGTGTTGAATTTCAGGAATACGATTCGTCCATTCAGAGCAAAAATCTCATACTTTAAGAGGACATTACGAGTAAGTGACTCTGCTTTTTTTTTGTATTCTTTCTTTTGAACAGACATTAAGACAGTACAATCAGGGGCGTATTAGCCGCGAGGCAAACAAGGCATTTGCCTTGGGCGGCATTTTTCAGGGGGCGGCAAAAAATGCCGCCCCCCAAATGCCCAGGGCAAATGTCTTGTTAGCCTCGCGGCTAACAGACATTCTGGGCGCTGGGCGGCAGTGGCTGCAGCGCTGGGCGGGCGGCCGGCGAGGGAGCTCTTCCCCTGAGCGCTCTGCTCAGCTCCCTCGCGCGCCGCCAGCAGAGTGAGGCTGGGAGCCGGGTTGATGACGTCATATTCCGGCTCCCAGCCTCACTCTGCTGGCGGCGCGCGAGGGAGCTGAGCAGAGCAGAGCTCTCAGGGGAAGAGCTCCCTCGGCGGCCGCCCGCCCACCCTGCAGCCACTGGACCCCAGGGAGAGGAAGAACCCCCCCCAGCATTACCAAAGGTAAGGAGGCTGGGGGGGGTTAAATAAAAAAACAAAAAAAAAACACTAGTGTGTGTGTGGAAGTCTGTTAGTGTGTATGTTAGTGTGTGTATGTATGTTAGTGTGTGTGGTGTATGTCTGTTAGTGTGTGTATGTTAGTGTGTCTGTTAGTGTGTGTATGTTAGTGTGTGTGTGTATGTTAGTGTTTGTGTCTGTTAGTGTGTATGTTAGTGTTAGTGTGTGTATGTTAGTGTTAGTGTGTGTGTCTGTTAGTGTTAGTGTGTATGTTAGTGTTAGTGTGGATGTCTGTTAGTGTGTGTGTTTGCCTGTGAGTGTGTGTGTCTGTTAGTGACTGTGTGTTTCTGTTAGCTAGTGAATGCGTATCTGTCAGTGAATGTGTGTGTGTGTATTTAGAAGGCGGAGCAGGGGGGAAGGTTGGGTGGCGGTTGCGCGGGTGGGGGTGGCGCGGGGGGGTGCCTGAGTTTTGTCCTGCCTAGGGCAGCACAAAACCAGGATACACCACTGAGTACAATGTCAGCTGGTGTTCATTAGTATTCATAGAGTTTTACATAGCACTTCAGGTAAGACATGCTAATCTGATATAATAATCAATCCTTGGACACTTTGAAATGCTTGTCGTTAGCTGAAGGAAGAGGGGCAACTTTGGGCCGTCCTTGTTTCTCCTAAACGTCAGTTTTTGAATTAGAGAATAAAGAAAACAGGGGATATCGATGAGGGAAGGGGAGGGAGGGGAAGAGAGGGATATTTCCAACTTGAGTCGGTATGATATGTCTGATATAATTTATGCATGGACTCTTTGAATGTGGCCAGTGTCCTCTCCAGCCCGAGGACTATAGTAAAACCCCTGTGTCCCACCCGGATGGGACCCCCATCTGACCCCAGCTAAGGCCAGAATTATCAATGGTGTTTTTTTTGACAATAGTTTAATACAGATCGAGTCTACACTGAAAGTGTGTACAATGTCTTCTCCCCAGGTTGCTGTACACACCGGCCGGACCCCAGGAGATGACACATATGAGCTGTGTGCTCAGGTTTCAAACATGGTAATTCCTTCTACTGGTTACTTTGGGCTCTCTGCATCTACTGGATTCCTGGCTGGTAAATATAAGACTTTAAGGCATCTATATCTTCATTTATCCTTTTCTAGTCTTGAATAGGGTATATTTTATTGAACATAGTAAAGATGAATGTGACCGCAGATAAGAACCATTTGACCCATCTAGTCTGCCCAATTTTCTAAATCCTTATCTTATTTCTAGGATAGCCTTAGGCCTATTATAACTTTTAGAATAAAGCAATCTCACTGGCTTCAAACATTGTGAATTCAGGATGTAAATAATACTCAATTCATATTTAATCTACATAAAATGAATGTTTGGCTTCCCTGATGTTGGAGCAGTATATTTTTATAGAAAGATAAGCAATCAATGACCTGAATAAACAGCTTATGGTTCAAATTTTGGCTAATGAACACTGGTCGTGACTTGTCCAGTCAACTCTCAAAAACTATCTTCAAGAGACAACTAAAGTTCAGGAGATAAGTGCTTGTAGTGACACCTAGTGGTAAAAGAAAATATACCAGGCTGCACACAAATGATCGCTCACTCTTGTCCATTCTGGGCAATTGATTTGCTTTCCAGTAAAACGACAGAGAGATCTGGCTTGAATCCAAATGTAGATGAGTTTTGTAAATTAAATAAACCTGTAAAATGGATGGATGCAAGGCTAATTCATTTGATTAGACATCCACATGATTTATAACTCAATAAAGTGAGTGACTTGAGTCTGCCTAGATATTATATTATATCACGTTGATAGACCAAGCAAGGACATTAAAACATGGTTGAGTTGGCCCAGGCTTGGGGTTAATAACATTAAAATTCTTCTCTAGTATTATTTGGGTCTTAATGCCACAGCAGCGCATGTTGGGGTAATATGATTCTAAGTTCTTCTTAATATTCTTAGTTCATTTTTGGTTTCCATCCAATCAGAATACAGGGAGGGCTGCATACATGTTATCTGGAGGATGACTCCGAACAAATATCATAACCAAAATGAAATATTTAATATGAATACTGCAACAACTATAATAAATAATAAAATAATGCAATGATGCAATACTTAAAATACCTTCTATAGATTCAACATGTGATAAGCTATTTGATTACACATTTGCACAATTTATATCCCTATGCCATCAGTAATAAAAATACAACAAGTTGCGCCGCCTACGGTGACTGTGGGACATTTCACGTCTAACATGTATAGATGTCTGAGTAGGTATTCACACTGCACATGCAATATATTAGCCTCCGATGGATCCATCAAAATTCCATGAACAATGAAAGAGACGTCACAGAGAGCTGTGTACATCTACTCGGTTCCTTGTGACTCTACTGACACCAGGCTGTCATACCCATGGCTACTTGCAAATGCCTTCAGGGGTACCATACATATTCATCATAGCCTAGAAGCCTGATCAACATAGATACTGTAGCTCTTAAAGAATTAGGACGACAGGCCACCAGTCCAAGACCAAAGTGGTTACAAGTTAACCCATGCTGTGCTGGACAGTCTGTTGGCCCTGCTTATCTCCTCCATGTCACTTGTCTCCCACAGTACTTTGTTAATCAGCAAAAAAGTAGGCTGTGGGTCATCTGTCCACCATCCCTGATGTACTAATTGCAATTGCGTCTCCACTCCGCCAAACCTTCTCTAGCTGGGTATTAAAGCATGGTCTGCGAACAGTAAACTAATGGCAGTTTTCAGTTTGAATAATAAATGTAAAAAAAGGCGAGTTCCGTACCTTTTTACATATATATATATATATATATATATATCATACTCAAGATCCAGTGCATTTATTTATCCACTAAACAGCAACTTCAATGTTGACAGATTTTATTAGTTTATTTTAAAACACATAATCTAGGCAAAAATAATGGGGTTTTAGTTACATTATATGATCATACATTGCATAAGCCTGTTACAATGCCAGTGTACCCCATCTTTGGCAGGTTCTACTCTAACATCGTTCCTGTAGGTTTTCTTGTAATTGTCCTATTTATAGTTAAATCCCCCCCTCTCATAATATTGTAAAGTGCTATGGAATCTGTTGGCGCTATATAAATGGCAATAATAATAATAATAATAATAATAATAATCTAATGTCTGCTTTTGTGAGATTAACCCACCTTCTTGGGGGGAAAATTCCATCTGGGGCTCTTAAAGGTTAAATAGGGCACTGGAATGAGGCACCTGTGACAGGGAGGGGTGCAAAACCAAGGAGTTGGCCTAGACTCCCAAATATATATATATGAAACCAGGAGGCTGCGCTCACCTGAACATGCATAAATGGGGTGCTGCTGGGGGCCAAAACACATAGTCTAGGGAAAAATAATGGGGTTTTAGTTACATAATATGATCATACATTGCATAAGCCTGCCACAACGTCAATGTACCCCATCTTTGGCAGGTCCTACACTAACAGACTAATGTCTGCTCTTATGAGATTATCCCACTTACCTGGGGGAAAAATTCCATCTGGGGCTCTCTGCAGTACAAGGCCTGTGAGAGGGAGGGGTGCAAATCCAAGGAGTTGGCTAGACTCCAAAATATATACATCCAAATGTTATTAATTAAATTAGACCACTTGGATGATATTTAACAAGGCAAAACTTCTGTTACTCTGGGTGCAAATGTCAAGTGATGGTTTCCATAATGATTGGTCCTTATTTAGCAATTTGCCTCAGAATAGCACTTTTTTTTTTTTTTGCTTAGACCAATCTCAATCGTCTTTCCTCATATTCAAACGTTACTGTCCCTTGAAGCAATTTAACAGATAACTTTGCTTTAAGGATATTCAGAGTAGGAGATGCATTCATACTGCTTTGAGTACAATTTTAGTAGAAGCATTTTGTATTCTCTTAACTGAATTCTAACGATAGCTCAGAATTTACAAAAATCCTTGTTTCAGTAAAATTAATCTTCAATCAATCAATACCAGACGCTCTCAGACTATAAGTAGTCCTGAAGATTGCTTTGAGAACCAATTAAATACTCTGTAGCGTGATTGGATAAGTAATATTATGTCTGCATGAAGCAGGGTTAATCCCATTCTGTTGTGTCTTTCACAGACGACCATGACGTGTTTTCCTTTATGATATACAGTCTGAGCAGGACCTGGGAGGAGGTGATGTAGCGTGTCTTTGTGTGTGTCTGGTTTTGTATGGTATGGTTCATACTATTTAGGTGTCAGGGATAGGCTACCTGTTTCCGTTTGTTTAAATAGGTGTCGGTGTGTATAATATGAGAATAAACTTACTCCATATACAAGAAACGTTGCATCTGAATTACATAAATCCCCTATCTAAACCTCAAGCTCACATAGTATTGTCATGAAAATGTTTAAAGTTGCAAACCATCAGAAAACCTTACATTGTTAGATATAAATAAGCAAATGATTCGAGCCACCATCAACACCCATAACACCCACTGCTTATGTTTTCTAAACCAAGTTTTTTTCTATGCTATAAATAACACCAATAAACATCACATTGTCATGTTGATTTGTTTGTTAAAAGGACCTGGTAGGGGATTATAAACGTGTGGCACAAAACAATGTGTAACAATACCTGAGACTCAAATTCCCTCTGCTGCTGTAGGATTATAACAGTATGTTCTGCTACAAGAGGGTTCTCATTGCTGTACCCTCATTTTATTTTTGAGTGCAAATGACTGACTGGAATCCTGCTTGGTAATATATAATAAAGCACTAAGTGAAACAATTCATTTATTGAATAGTGACCCAGTGTGATTCAAAGAGATTACTGGAAAAAATTGGTGACCTTATCCTAAACTAATAGAGCAGGCTTATAGAACAATTCATTATATACAGATAGTATTAACAACCAATGGCAATTTCATATATCTACACAAGGTGACAATTCATGATATATACACTGCCATATACAACTAATTACAGTCCTGATATCCCGTGTGGGATAAGGTATCATAGATGGATCCACCACCTGCTGGAGTAATAATAGGCCTTGAAAAATAGCACAAATAAAAAGATGACTGGAAAAAAGTGAGAAAAATAGTGCCAAATATGAAAAAAAGAAATAAAATGAAAAAAGAAAAAGGCACAAAAATATTTATAGCAGTCCAATATTAATACACAGTGCACTGAAAAATTTTATGTACATGGGTTGAGATGCCTTCCGGGTGACAGTAGGGCCAGCCTCGGGGGGTCCTGGGGTGGTCGGCTTCTGGGCCCCCAGGGGAAGAGGCTGGCCCAGTGGGTACACACCGGGTCGCAGGGGCGGCCGGCCCCCTGGTGGGCCGGGCCCGGTCGCAGCCGCAACCCCTGCGACCCTGGTATGTACGCCACTGCTCTCAGCCAATGAGAGCGGCCCGGCATGGTCCTTTTTAACACAGCTAAACTAACTAGGTTCTTCTGCTAGGAGATCCAAAAGCAAGGGCCTACAGGAGCGAGGTAAGTTAGTCATGTCCCCCTGTGCCCTGCAGGGGCCTTTGAAGGGACGTGGACGTCCCGAGCGCGCAAACCCGTCCTACCTGTCTTCACTATTGATCAGCCGATGCCCGCCTTCACTGTCGACCAGCCGACTTTTGCCAGGATCATCTGCTGTCGATTAGGCTCACCTACTTTATAGGAGGACTTTACTGAAATCTGAACATTAGATCCAAGAGGACTCTTCTGGACTACTCTATTACCAACAATAACCCTCTTCACTATTACAGTCTATCCCAGTGAAAACATCCCATACACATAAAATTCTTCAGTGCACTGTGTTTTTTTTTTTTGTGTTTTTTTTATAATTCTTTATTTTTGTTGTGCACAGCTTACATAATAGGTTTGGCTTGCCACAAAAACAGTAGTATGCGTTAGAATACTATAACATTGCAAACATTGCGGTAGTGGTTTTGCACAATTTTTATATGTTTAAATGTAGGAAGAGCATATGGTAAGATAAACAGGTTAGTAGTTAGGTAGAGAACTGTGTGTCTTGCTAGGTGTTACGAGGGTAGGCTGCCACAGGATATCAGCATGTCAAAGATTGGTTGTCAGGCAGCGCTGTGATACTAGGGAAGCCTGATTAGTCGTCGTTACTGAACAGGGTCTGCCCAAGAGTTAAGAGCTAGTAAGCCTCTGGGTTGCTTAAAATTACGTGAGCTTCAACATATAGGGTTAAACTAAGACATCACTAAGCTGAAATAAAAGTTTAACAAGGTAACATTGCTTTCTAGGGTATGAGAGATCAAATATAAACCACAAGCTTGATAGGAACTGTTAGGGTTCCTGTGAAGTTTGTCCCAGGTCAGTCCGTTTGCCAGGCAACATAAGGGGCGCAGACGGAGGCAGTGTTAGCGGTCTTCAACCAATACCCCGTGCATGCCATCGTGGACAGTTCATCCCATGTTCGGGTATCTCGGTCCCTCTGTCCGGCGGACGTGAAGTCAGGCTGTGCTGCAAATGCTGTAGGCCGGTTGGGACACCCTGGGTTCGTCGCGGGCCGCTTCTCCCTCTCTGGTGGCGGGTTGGTTTCCGCACACCACGGTCTTGGTGTCACTTAGGGGTCGTATCCTGCTGTGGAGGGGGGTGGCTGGTGGCTCTGTTGTGCTGGCGCTGTCTGCAGCGGTGAGGCCACAATCTGTATGCATGGTGCTTTGGGGTTTTGCATCTGCTGGCCCCCGGCGCTGGTGGGCCCACCGTCATGGGTTGTGGTGGCCACGAGGTGATAATACTTGGTGAGGGCTTTTCTTTCATCCTGGTCCCATTCTCACAAGTCTCTCCTCTGAGTTGAGGTGATGTGGGCTGCGGGTGTATCTCCACAGGGTCCCAGAGCCTCTCAATTAATTTCTCCAGCGTCCACCAGGCTTGTTCCGTGGGGCTGAGCTGGAGCGCTACAGACTGCGTGTGTCTGGGTTCACTCTGACAGAAGACAGCCGCCATCTTGTGTTGTGCGGTAGTGGGTTGGCAAGGGCCATTGCAGCTGTGGGGATCGTTATCGCCACTGATTGCAAGCTTGTGTGGACCGAGATAACCCCCACCAGTCCAAAGGGGGGGAGGGGGTAAGCACGAAGCTTAATACGTTGCCTGGTCTTTTGATTCCCGTCTAGGAGGTCGGCCGTTCCTCCCGCCCGGTTCTCGCTAGGCCGCAGTTTTCCAGCATCTGGTTTTCAGTCTCTGTGGGCCACTCGATCGCACTGGCAACAGTCCGATGTGCTTTCAGTTTTCTTGGGTCCCTTTTAGTGTCGATTAGGCGTCGGTGAGCCTGTGGTTTCGCCGTTTAAGTTAGTTTTAGGAGAGGAGCTCACCGAACATGCGACCGCTCAGTATGGCGTCCAGGCCCGCCCCAGTGCACTGTGTTTTAATATTGGACTGCTATAAATATTTTTGTGCCTTTTTCTTTTTTCATTTTTTCCTTTTTTTCATATATTTGGCACTATTTTTCTCCCTTTTTTCCAGTCATTTTTTTTATTTGTGCTATTTTTCAAGGCCTATTATTACTCCAGCAGGTGGTGGATCCATCTATGATACCTTATCCCACACGGGATATCAGGACTGTAATTAGTTGTATACGGCAGTGCATATATCATGAATTGTCACCTTGTGTAGATATATGAAATTGCCATTGGTTGTTAATACTATCTGTATATATAATGAATTTTTCTATAAGCCTGCTATATTAGTTTAGGATAAGGTCACCAATTTTTTTCCAGTAATCTCTTTGAATCACACTGGGTCACTATTTAATAAATTAATTGTTTCACTTACTGATTTATTAATCTCTTTTACTAATACATAGAGTGCGGTATTGTTGTTGTTTATATTGTTTTCTATAGATTTTGAGGTTGTATTGGGGTTAACCTTGAATACCTGAGTGCCAGCACACCGTGTTTTTTATGTAATATATAATGCCCATTGCTAAGCAGTATGTGCATTTAACACTATGTTATGTATCTGTTTCCTGTAAGTCTCCCTCAGCACAGATTCCTGATGCTGAAAAAGATAAGTTTCTCCAGGAATTTGAAGAGTTTCAGAAAGAGCTTGAAAAGAACATGCGAGACTTTGAGAAGACTCACCCTAAACAAGGTTGGTTTCCATACCTAACCTGTTGTCACTTCCTACTAAAATTCCCGAGACACCCATGTGTGTTGCTTAAAATATACAATAGGGTATGGGGTGTATTATTATGTGCCTGGAATGACTTTATGGCCTTCTTGGAACCTGTCTTTTGACTCAGGGGTTTTAACCATAATGTGTCCTTTAGAAACTAATAGCAAGTACATGTTTAAGGGTTAATTACTGATTTTTGTTCAAAATGTTGTTCAAAGTCTGATGAAGCAAACTTTTTGCTCACTAAGAAACAAGGAATATGAATCAAAAGGACTGGAAGACCACCAGTCTTTTTAACCCAGGGCCCTTTACTACCTGTGCACTCTGGAGAACTTCTGATCCGGTTGAAATTATATGAGTACTGTTTACAATATATAAAAGGACTTATTAAATAACAACATGCAAAAGGAGTTTAGGAGTTCTATGAATATTAGGTGGAATTTATTAATAATAACGTTTAGTGGTACATGACTGGAGACATCATTTAGTACTGGTACATGGGCCTTGATTTAATTTGTTTGAAACAGCATCAGGAATTATTCCATATATATACATTTATATCTGTTATAAAAAAAAATTCAAATGATCTATTTACAAAAAGTCTCGTAGACTTCTGTAGATAATAATTTGAAAAGTTTTTCACTAGCAGATCGGAATCATTTCTGATGCTGATTCAAACAAATTAAATTGATGCCTTGGTTAGAAAAGGTTTGTAAAGTTATGGCACAACCCATAAATAGAATTTGTGGAGGATATGAATAAGAGACTACTAAACAATTACTCTTTTCCCACTTGTAATTCCCACTATCCTCCAATAACGCTGACAACTATATGCTTTTTTCATCTGTCTTTCTAGGTGAGGACCTGTTTGAGTCTGACAGTCAACGGGAGTTGGATATGATCTTAGCTGGGCAGGCTCGAGTGCTAGAGGAGATATCTGTACTGAACAAGAGATTAAACATGACTCTGGAAGAGCAAATAAGACAGAGGGATATCCTAAGTCGATCTGCAGCTAATGAAACCACAACTGTGAAAAAAGATCACGTTAGTATACACTTTGTATAGTGCTGGTGACAGATCTGTCCAGGTTTGTCTAGGTTGTCTAGGAAAAGTATAACTTATCTGTGTCTGCATTCTAAACAATAAGGTGTAGTTCGCTTTATTAGAATCTTCTGCCTTGGTTACTGCAACCTTCTTCTGATCCCCAATCCTCCCACGAAATGATCAGCATTCTGCTTGTAGCTGCACTTCGGTGATGAGTTCATCAAAGGCTGAAGCAGTTGTCTGGGGTTGCTGTATCTCTTGTACCGAAGGATCTTTTCTAGCATTTTGGTCCTGGAGTGCCCCTGTAGGTGGAATCTGTCTGACATACAAATAGTATAAGTTCACTGTGTAATCGTGTAATAATGTGTTTCTTACCTCAGTGGGCCATATCAATAGTGCAAGATACTGTGTATCCATCCATTCCAAGTGTTCTGTTTTGGTTAATTTTAATACTTTAACATAAGACGCCCCTTCATTTTTGTGACCTGCTCTACTGACCTGATCAGACCATAAATCTAGAATTCTCTCCAAAAAAGTTCTTAAGAACGTAAAATATTTAATCTCTAGGTAGAGAAAGTTCTGTTTTATAAAAAAAAACCTGACCCTGCTTTCTTGTACTGTTTTACGCTTTCATAGCCTTCATCAGGGTAACTGAAAGTCCTTTTACTAAGATCTAAGCATAATGAAGTTGTGGACCTCGGCCCACTGTGCTAAAGAGCATCTCAACCATCTACTGTATTCTCTTTAAGATCGGCCGAAATCTTCACCTAGTGCTTCTGGACCTCTCTTGCAGTTGCAGAGGACCTTTGCTTGAGTTTTCATCTCTGGAATACCTTTTCCATTGGGAGCAATCTTGATATCCTAATGAAAATGTATCCCTTTTTATTTATTTTTTTGACATTCTTTATTTAATCGTGCAAGTAAGTATATACAGATACACTAGAGGCGCCACGACAGTGTATACTGGCAAGCAAATAACTAAGAGCAAGTTATACAGGCGTCTCATAAATGTCCATTGCACATTGTTATACGAAATCCGAACAAGTTAGGCTAGCATGTCGAAGTGTCAAGGCAAAGCATGGCAGTAAATGATATGGTAGACATATGAATATCGGGAACTCCACTAACAACTACAGTTAGTACTGCATTTAGGTTAACCCTATTCCAGGGCTAAGAAGGTTGAAAATGTCTCCTTTTAATGGTTGATACTAAAACGTCTCCTTATAATGGTTGAGTGAGCTAAAACACATTTAGATAATCCTTTATGTGTATCATCCCATAATACAACCTTTCATGCTTTGTTCCCCCGCGGCTTTATGCCTTGTGTACTTACATTGTTTTACTTTATTCAACAATTCCAATAATTCTGAACAGAAAACCATAAATAAAGAGTGCTATATTGCTGTCAGAACGGTGTGTTTATGTATCGGGAAGCACTTAGAGGATGCAGGTGCCTAGATATGGCTTACATGAGATACACCCCCTTCACTCCATCACTTCATTCATTACTTAGTGTACTGTGGTCCTAAACCGCTTAGGATTTAAAGGATTAAAGGCTTAATGAGGTTTTTGTTTCCTGTTACTATTTTCCAGTATAGGATAAAGTATTTTATAAAATGCAATCTTTTTTTTTTTTTCTGCAATGATTTTAAGATAAATACTGCTTACGTCAATCTCGAACCATTTTTAGGATTTTATTAAAACATAAATAAAATAGACCTGTCACTTTTATAAAAAGTTTTTTTTGTTTGTTTACAGCCCAGTACATAAGATACCTAGACTCCTCAAATGAAAGGATTGAAGTTCAAAGTGAGAGTGACAAGTGTTTACTAAACAATAAATTGTAGAGAAAAGAAATTTGGAAAAATTTAGTCTAAAATAACAGAGCCATGGCTATCGCTGAACTGGAGGGTGTTTAAAACCTAGAGTTTGTAATTTGTTTTCAACTCACTACAATTTGGTATTTAGCGAATAAACCCCTAAGATTCAGTATAAGAAATGTTGCTGGTGCGCCGAGTGAAATTAGCATAGAACGTGTTCAAAAACAAATTAAAACAAAAAGAAATGATACAAAATATGAAATTAACACATAAAATAAATGTAACCAGAGTTTCATGTTAAAATAAAAAAATAGAAGCTGTGAAGTTTCTCATCACAATCTGTTCTGTCATTGTGATTCCCACAGTACATAATAGTATATTTAATAATGCTTCATTAATGGAGCAAATGCATTAACAAATGGCAGAGCTCTTAGCCAAAGAAGGACATTCTTTCCTGTTTGGATTTATTTCAAATAGAAGTCAGTAGATTTTTAGAACAATGCTTTATTTTTGCATCTAAATCTGCGTGACAGCTCAGATGGTTAATACACCACCCACAGAAGTTGTATAGGCATAATAAAATGAATTCCATTGAGTTGGGTAATAATTCCTGTACCCCAGAACATACCTTCAAAGGAGAAATATTGTGTAGGACTCCTTCCTGTTAAAACTTTGATTATTATTGGTTATTATATAAACATTGGATGGGGGGCACAACATTTTATAAAGAGTATCACTATGTTCTCAATAAAATCGATTAAAAGCATTATTTATAATATAAATCCACAGAGAGTTGCAGGTGGGTAGTCCTAACCTTCATTCCTCAAACCAATCTGCATCTAGTTTGCTACCATTGTAGGACCACCAGAGCGTGAATCTCTATCTAATGATACACCTCTGCAGGGCAACTTCATAACACATAACGCAACGCAACATCATAACACAACTTCATAATGCAACTTCATAACGCATGACGCAACTTCATAATGCATGACTATAGAAAATGGTAAATAGCTGATGCCATTTGGTGTCTTTTATTACTAATTTCATAGAGAAACATATTACTCCATAACTCCTACAGCTTATTGTAAATGATGGGCTGGGAGTCTGTGGGTACCACAGTATAGTGGTTATGGTACTTGGACAGCTTTATATAATGTCAATATACTTAATCACAATGGTTTCCTATGAACTTTTTTACTCAAAAGATGCAGAAATAACAATATCAAATGATAACCAAATGACACTGATCCTACTATTCTTCAGGCCCACGGTGTCCTGGAAACCGTAATGAATGGAATCCCGGATCTTCTAGCCATGACACGGGATCTGAAGTAAGTAGGAATAACTCTGGAATGTTGACGTTGTTTTATGGATTCTGTGCTCTGTGGGATAACTTTTTTTAATGACAGCTCTTTCGCTGCAGACCATTACTAGTGGAGGAAATCTAGGAGAAATGCGACTAAAGTATATTAAAGCTGCCTAAGTAGACACTAAGTAGGGCTGCCGGTTGACAAAAGTAATATTGACAGACGGACTGTCAAGGGGATACGGCTAGTACGAACGTATCAGATATGGTCAATGGAGAGATGGAAGGTGACATTTTTGTGGGATTATTAAAAAAACTTGGAATAATGGAGATCTGATAAGGAAATGGTAAATTTTAGGCCAAGATGAACAACAGAAAGCTAAAACAAAAGAAAGTGGCTGACCGAGTTTGTGGTGGGGCACGTAGGGCACGTAGGGCATGTAGGGCTTCTATACGAGAGAAAGGGACATAACTAAACTAAAAATAAATGGAAGATGCACATTTTTTTTTCTATTTTAAAAATTATGGACTAACTTTCCCAGTTTCAGTGTCAGTTCACCACAAATAAATCTTTCACGAAGAGACCCTGGAGCTTTTTGAGGGCTAAAAGAGAAAATAAAAAGAATTTAAATAAAATTTTTGTACATTGTAAACATGTATCTATGACTTTCTGTTTCTGACAAATAAAATGCTGCATTTTTCTGCATGGTCTGTACTAATCTTCATATCCGTGCAGCAATAAGAGCTCTGTTTTCCACAGTGACCGTCAGATATTCCACTCTTTAATTATCTTGTCATGAATCACAAAGTCTTCCTTTTTTATTTTGATGATCTGGGCATGTTTTAACCCAAAGGCCCAGTTCCGTTTCGTTGTGAGCTGGAATGACTTGGGCATCTCTGTCTTTCTTCCTCATTAGCAATGCTTCTCTCCAGAGCTCGGGGGGAGGAAAGCATCCAAGTCACATCTGACCTTCATAACGACCTTGAAGGAAAATACCCTATTTAAAGCATTTTTAATGTATAAGTACCACTGAATTCCCTGATTATCCTTTAACTGTAATACGATTCTGCTACCCAGTATGTACTGTATTCAATTTATCTTCCCTAATATCATACAAAGCCTGTCTAAAGTCATTAGATGTGAACAGTGCATAAACATCAGTTAGTTTTTAAATTCATAAAATCACAAAATCGGTGAATGTTACAGTAAAAAATAGTCTCTAAATTGTGCCAGCAGAATTTTTTTCAAATAGGAGTCAGTAGAGAAATCTGCTAGATGTATCACCCTTACTCAGTTTTGGCCTCATTGTTCTGTTCTTGTCACTCAGTTCTGGCCTGTTTGTGTTTGCCGTGAGATTAAAGGTACATGCCAATCCAAGTTTGGGGTGAATAGTGCCCCATCTTTCGCATTCAAAAGAAGTGCAGATTTAAAGAGAAATCATCTCTTTTACAAAGTTCTGGTTTCATTCTCCTGGCTGTCAATAAGACAGGGTGCTCTTCCTCATTGGTTTGTGCTCCAGCACAGAGCCGGTGATTGCTGCACGTGCACCGTGCCTTGGATTGGCCGGCAGAACACCAATATTATTGATTTCCTGGAGGCAGAGTGGAACTGCAGGAAGAGACTGTCTTGAAACAGAGGTAAGTTAACTTTTTTTTTTTTTTCACGTAAGGGTTGGGAACGGAGCCCAGCAGGCACACCAACACTCCAGTGTTATAAATAAATGTATATATTTGTAACCAATCAAAGGTTGCCTCTGTTTACAGAGGAGTGTGTATAACAAAAGTGCACAAAAGAGTCAAAAAGTGATTTACAGGCAGCTCAATACACTAGTGTGGAAATATCCTCTATTCCACTGAATAAATTTAGTAGATATTGGTGCGGTGTAAGTGACAAGGACCTACACCTATAAGTGGAGCGCTCAAACACAGATAAATCTTACCAAAACGTAGTCTCATTCAATGGTAAAATATGGGGTACATGTCAAAATAAAATACAGAAAATACAATATAGTGTAGATGGTACTAAAAAATGGCTTCACAGTGATTATAATAATATCGTGTTGAATATTACACTCACATTTCAAGGAGCCTGTATATAGAAAACACTGGCTCCGTATAAAGGCTTGTGTGCTGTTATGGTAGCACCACCCTCCTACTTCGGCTTGAAGAATTTCTCGAGAACACGAAAAAAGAGAAGAAAGCAAACCAATGTGTAGACTTATGGTGATAAATGACACAGATATGTGTTCAATAAATGGGGTGCTCACCTGGTCCTGAGCCTATGAATCCCGGCTCTAGGTATGTGGATTTTGTGCCAATTTGAATGGGGATGGCACTACCCCTGTGAGGATTCCTTGGAGGCTCCAAAAAGAACTTGGATGAGGTATTAAATGAAAATGGTAAATTTATTAGTTTAAAATAAACATAAAAACAAAGATGATAAAAGTCCTCAAATAAAAGTCCTTTAAAAATGGCCAATACGCGTTTCACTCTCAAATAGAGCTTCTTCAGTCAGCTACCATAACAGCACACAAGCCTTTATACGGAGCCAGTGTTTTCTATATACAGGCTCCTTGAAATGTGAGTGTAATATTCAACACGATATTATTATAATCACTGTGAAGCCATTTTTTAGTACCATCTACACTATATTGTATTTTCTGTATGTTATTTTGACATGTACCCCATATTTTACCATTGAATGAGACTACGTTTTGGTAAGATTTATCTGTGTTTGAGCGCTCCACTTATAGGTGTAGATCCTTGTCACTTACACCGCACCTATATATTTGTAACGTTTGTGTTTTCTCTGACAACGCAGCGTTTACATTGAAAAGACATGAAACTGGGGTTGTTCTGGTGAGTATAGTGTCCATTTAATGTTGTGGCTGGTCAGTGTATGTTAAGACTGAGTGTATGTTTTCATGTATATTCATTGAGATTAAATATATCTTATGTCTATTCATTGCTTGAGAATGGCTCATTTTGAGGCAAAACATTGCTTTTTTGGGGAGTTACAATCAAAACCCTTTGACAAGTCTAAAAAAAAGTACCAGTCAGCAGATTTGTATATTATTGTAATGTAGAGGTAAATCTCTCTGCAGATGTCACAACCAGCGCTACAATTGTACTATATTAGAAAAGTGAACCAATTTTTATTTTGGAACTTTTGGTAAATAATTTATAAGCTATATCGAGGAACACTTAAATAGTGTATTTATGGAATCACACATTACAACACGTGTGAAGTTATCTGTAATGTCGTAATCAAAAAAGTGTTAATTAAATGTAAGTATAAATATTCCAGTCAAATGCCAAAATCTAGTAGAAGATATTTCATATATTTATACTAACACATAAGTTGCCAGTTTTCCAAACTACATGCTATCAGTGCTCTTGTACAGCCACAATTGCCCTGTAATAATTTCTTGTGCTGTGCTTTTAATAGTGGAATAACTGATGAGTAGTGATGTCCCGAACGGTTCGCCGAACGGTTCGCCGAACGGTTCGCCACAGACTCATCATTGAGTAAACTTTGACCCTGTACCTCACAGTCAGCAGACACATTCCAGCCAATCAGCAGCAGACTCTCTCTCCCAGACCCTCCTACCTCCTGGACAGCATCCATTTTACATTCATTGTGAAGCTGCATTCTTAGTGAGCTGTCCAGGAGGTGGGAGGGTCTGCTGCTGATTGGCTGGAATGTGTCTGCTGACTGTGAGGTACTTGGTCAAAGTTTACTCAATGATGAGTCCGTGGCGAACCGTTCGGCGAACCGTTCGGGACATCACTAATGATGAGGCGTGAGTCTCAAATCACGAATGTTAAAATTCATCAAGGGGCGGGGCCTGACCGCTGAGCTGGATGGACGTGGGGCACCTCAGCTCCACGATGCAACATCAATAATCAGCCCAAAAATTACTAAAATAGCCTTGTCTCCCCTGGAAAAACATCCAGCAGCTGCAAGAAGGCACAGGGGACCCGAACAATACTCGGCGCAGCAGTCGGCCCCCGTCCTACCGGCGAGGCTTGCTGGGCAGATGGGATTGCGGCCTGTCGCGGGGCTCTGGCGGGAGAAACGGCCGATCTCCTGTACTTAGTCCGGCGTGACCTCCCGCACGCCTGCCGATCCCCCCCGTGGGCCGGGGGGTTTATCCCGGACCCCACCGGGGAAACAGAGAGCATCTAAAACATCCAAGCCGTGAAGGGATTAAACAGAGACCGCATGGCAAAAATCAAGATGGCTGCCGTGCCCATTACAAGAACAGAAGAACAGAAGCGGCAGCATTAGAGCAACGACTGAGCACTGTCCACAAACCGAAGCAGACCAGACCACCAAGCACTGACAGCGGTCCGCAAACACCGGCACACTCTCTCCGCCCATCAGCCAACTTTAAAGAGTGCACCTCCATCATGTGGGCTCGGCTCATCTTTACACTGCCTGAGGCAACATCTTTCACCGCTACCGGCAGAGCTGTGGGGACTTAAATGGGACTCCAACCCTGCTCAAACATAGAGGAGAAAAGGGCACAAGAACAGGCTTCATTTTATACCAGAGGCTGATGCCAGCAGACACGAGAGATCTATCGCACTCCTGGCCAACAAGTACCCAAGCTACCAAGCGATCAAAGTGAAACATAAGGGGCTTTTTGTACAGCCAGGACACCAACCGAACCAGCACAGCTGCAGGAACAACTAAGCGGTTACTAATCCTATATAATTAAAGTTCTAGCAGAGCACTAGATATCCCCTATGCTAGCATTTCATTTTTAATATTATTATTTTTGAGCATATCACAGTTGATCTTAACCCTGCAGATCCACACAGAAATCCCCTGTAGATGACTGAGCCCACCTGTATGTTTTAATATGTTTTAATCTGTATAACTCATCCGGCTAGTCTAGTGACTCGCTGACCCCTGGTGGTTAAATTCAATCGGAGTAAAGCAATGGGTACCTGAAGTTATTTTTGCATAGCCTATAATCTAAGCATGTATATGTATACTATGGTTTCAAAATACTTACCCTTGATGTCAGTTCAAATGCCAGTTGTCTATGATTTATGTTACCAGCTTACTGACATAATCAACGTCAAGCATGAATAATATACAAAAATTGTGCCGTCTAAATCTATGTCTATTAACCTAGAATCGCAGGTATCTGCTGTTGTGGCAATGCCGGTGTGTATGTATTCTCTATGCACACCAAAATAAAGAATTTAAAAAAAAAAAAATTCATCAAGGACACATTTTCCAGGATCTATTTCTTTAGAGACAACTCTGCATTTGAATTTAATAGGATGAGTACCATTGAATTGAGAACCAGTAAAAGGTATTATTAAAGGATCACTATAGTGTCAGGAAAACAAACTTGTTTTCCTGACACTAGTTCATCCTTAGGATTCCCCCACCCTCAGGGTCCCCCTCCCTTGGTGCTGAAGGGGTTAAAACCCTTTCAGTTACTTACCTGAATCCAGCTCCAGGCTTCCTCGATGCTGGTGGAATGGAATGCGCATTCCTAGTGGAGTGGAATGCGCATGCTTTCTCAATGCTTTCCTATGGACGTTCTGCACGCTGGATGCGATTTTCGCATTGTGTTGCAGAAGCGCCTCTAGCGGCTGTCAGGAAGACAGCCACTAGAGGTTGGATTAACCCTGCTATGTAAACATAGCAGTTTTTTCTGAAACTGCTATGTTTACATCTGAAGGGTTAAAACCTGCTAGACCTGGCTCCCAGACCACTTAATTGAGCTGAAGTGGTCTGGGTGACTATAGTGTCCCTTTAATATGATTTAATTTGACAACATATGGTAAACACTTTGAGTTCCTTTGATGAGAACAGTGGTTTATTAAAAAGTAATTGTAAATTGTATTATGGTTGTAGTGCTTGCTTTAGTTGTTAAACTAATTAAGGTTTCAAATGTGTGGGGAGCTTAGCAGAGAGAAACACATATCTGTTGAATCCACAGAAGTGACATTTTAAAGATGGCAGCCAAGGCCAAACATCCGACTTCGTCATCAGGAAAAGATAGTGGCTCCCTCAGTGCAAGTAACGTTAGTGATTTCCAGCAGGACTTCCTGAAAATTAAGAGAAATCTGCAGAGTTTGGTCAAAAATTCGGTGAGTAGGTTTGGCCGTATCAAGAATAAGTGGCATAATCTAAAACAGTATATGTGATGAAACTGTGAATGTTGTATCAATAAATTTATGCGTCTGAAAAAAATTATGAATGACTTTTGGTTTTATCAGCAGAAATGCCAAATGAGTACAACCTAGAGAAAAAATTAATTTTGGCTAAAATCCTTTGAAACCTGTTGGCAATATAATTTCCGTGAGTCAGATAATTATTTGAGCAAGTCATTTGCTTTCGTCAAAACTGTGTCAAAAGTGTCAATTAAAAAAATATATTATTTATTTATACTAAAAGTGTCAAATTTAATTCGTTGATCGTGAAGGACTTTTTTTTTTTTTTTAATTGTTTGTTTATACTCAACCCATCGGCAAGAGTGAGCAGTGCTGGAACAAACAAATCTGCGTACAGTTAACAACAGCGACACGATGCATAGGTAGACAACTGCATTCAACAATAGTGGACTGGGCAATAGGCTGAGGGTTTTTTTATATTTTTGTAACCTGTTTGCAAACTAGGTGGTCACTTCGATTTTTAGCCCAACTAAGGGTAGGATGAAGCCTATCTCTGTTGCGCTTTCCCCTTACCACTATTTTCTCACATAAATGACCTTGCTAATGCCCATGTACTGGAAAGAACCTTCAAAGGTTCTCAAAACTCTTACTGCAACTCCCATGATTCTCTATTTCCATGGCTATCTATTTCATTCAAAGAATCATGGGAGTTGTAGTTCAGCAACATCTGTAGGGACAGAGTTTGCAGAACCCTGAGTAGATATATACTATATATACAGAGGTAAAATGAGGGACCCTTGAGGGCTTGGGCTTGGAGACTATGGTGAGGCCTAACAGAAAGCAGTTGTTGTTGGGGGATTCCATCATAAGAGGTGTGGAGATGGACAATGGTGGTCTTGTGAGATGTCTTCCCGGAGCTACTGCTCACAGAGACAGGAGACATATTTGTAATATTGTTAAGCGAGCAAAGCTGGAAGGGGAGTTGGATGTACTTGTCCATCTAGGGACAAATGACTTGGCTTGCAATGAGATTTCAGAGGTTAAGGAAGTTTTTAGTGTTTTTGCCAATGATATACGGCAGGTTGCTTTCACACTGTCATTCTCTGAAGTTCTGCCTGTGCATAACACTCAGAACGACAGGCGGATGCGTATTAGGGACTTTAATTTGTGGCTTGGTGAATGGTGTCGGGAGCAAGGATTTGGCTTTATTTCTCATGGTAGCTCTGTTTGCAATGGAGATAAGCTGTACAAAAAAAGATGGTTTGCATCTTTCTCAAAAGGGAACAAATGTTCTCAGTGAGCAGTTCAGAGGTTTTGCTATGATGTATTTAAACTAGAAGGAGGGGGGGGCAAAAGGGTGATAGAACATCAATCCAATTGTCCCCCAAAACAAGGGCAGAAGGTGCCTGTAGAAAGTGTGTTAAAAAATGATAAGCTTAGAGTCATGTCTACAAATGCTCGCAGTTTAGGGAATAAGATCCATGAACTTGTGGCAATAATGGCAACTGATAATGTAGATTTAGTCGCTGTTACTGAGACATGGTATAATGAGAAAAATGACTGGGACATAGCAATACCAGGGTACTCTTTATCCCCTTAAGGACACATGACATGTATGACATGTCATAATTCCCTTTTATTCCAGAAGTTTGGTCCTTAAGGGGTTAAATAGAAAAGACAGGGAAGGCAAGAAAGGGGGAGGGGTGGATCTGTATGTGAAGGATAGCATAAAATCTAGCCTAATAAAAGTTAGTGAGGCGAACATAGAGTCCGTTTGGGTTACGTTAGAATTTGGTAATCACACAGTAAATCATGTAGGTGTGATTTATAGGCCCCCAGGACAAATTGAAGAGTTAGATAATCTACTAGTTGAGGAAATAGCTAAAATGACAATGAAGGGGGAAGTTATCATCATGGGTGACTTTAATCTTCATGATGTGAATTGGAAAACAAAAATAGCTGCCTGTGCCAGGAGCACACATATTCTAAACGCCCTACTGAGATTGTCTCTAAAACAAGTCGCTGAGGAGCCAACTCGTAAAGAGGCCATACTAGATTTAGTGTTAACAAATGGAGATTTGGTATCAGATATTACTGTAGGTGAAAGTTTAGGATCCAGTGATCATCAGTCAGTGTGGTTTAATATAAGAACAGTGACTGAGTCACATCACACAGAAACAAAAGTTTTAGACTTTAGAAAAACAGACTTTAATAAAATTAGAATATGTGTAGAGGAGTCATTATCAGACTGGAGCAATTTAAATGGAGTCCAAGAGAAATGGGATTATTTAAAAGTTGCACTACTGAAGGCAACAGAAAATTGCATTAGGCTTGTCTGTAAAAGTAAAACAATTCAAGAAACCACTGTGGTACTCCGCAGATGTGGCCAAAATAGTTAAAAACAAACAGTTAGCATTTAGTAATTATAAAAAAATCCAGAGTGAGGAAGACAAAATGATCTTTAAGATTAGGCAGAAAGAGGCTAAGCAAGTTATAAGAGCTTCCAAATCACACACAGAATAGAAAATAGCACAGTCAGTAAAAAAGGGGGACAAAACTTTTTTTAGATACATAAATGAGAAAAGAAAAGTAAAACAATGATTAGTTAGATTAAAAACAAAAGAAGTAAGGTATGTAGAAGAGGATAAAGGTCTAGCTGACTGCCTCAATTAATATTTTTGTTCGGTATTTACAGATGAAAATGAAGGAAAGGGACCTCAGTTAAGAAAAAAGATAAATGAGTCATTTATTACACGTGAGTTTACAGAGGAAGAGGTTCTATTTCAACTGTCAAAAGTAAAGACAAATAAGTCAATGGGACCTGATGGAATACACCCAAAGCTATTAAAAGAGCTTAGTGGTGTACTAGCAAAACCATTAACAGATTTATTTAACCAATCATTGTTAACAGGAGTAGTCCCAGAAGATTGGAAGTTAGCGAATGTTGTGCCCATTCACAAGAAAAGTAATAGGGAGGAGTCGGGCAACTATAGGCCAGTAAGCCTTACTTTAGTAGTGGGGAAAGTGATGGAAACCATGTTAAAGGATAGGATTGTTGAACATCTAAAAAACACATGGATTTCAAGATCAGAGACAACATGGGTTTACTTCAGGGAGATCATGCCAAACTAATCTAATTGATTTTTTTGATTGGGTAACTAAAATTATAGATCAGGGTGGTGCAGTAGACATTGCTTACCTAGATTTCAGTAAGGCTTTTGACACTGTTGCACATAGAAGGCTTATCAATAAACTGCAATCTTTAAGTTTGGATTCCAATATTGTTGAATGGGTAAGGCAGTGGCTGAGTGACAGGCAACAGAGGGTTGTAGTCAATGGAATATATTCGAAGCTTGGACTTGTCACCAGTGGGGTACCTCAGGGATCTGTACTTGGACCCATTCTCTTTAATATTTTTATTAGTGATATTGCAGAAGGTCTTGATGGTAAGGTATGTCTTTTTGCTGATGATACTAAGATATGTAACAGGGTTGATGTTCCAGGAGGGATAAGCCAAATGGCAAATGATTTAGGTAAACTAGAAAAATGGTCAGAATTGTGGCAACTGACATTTAATGTGGATAAGTGCAAGATAATGCATCTTGGACGTAAAAACCCAAGGGCAGAGTACAGAATATTTGATAGAGTCCTAATCTCAACATCTGAGGAAAGGGATTTAGGGGTGATTATTTCTGATGACTTAAAGGTAGGCAGACAATGTAATAGAGCAGCAGGAAATACTAGCAGAATGCTTGGTTGTATAGGGAGAGGTATTAGCAGTAGAAAGAGGCATTTGTACAGAACACTGGTGAGACCTCACTTGGAGTATTGTACACAGTACTGGAGACCGTATCTTCAGAAGGATATTGATACCTTGGAGAGAGTTCAGATAAGGGCTACTAAACTGGTTCATGGATTGTAGGATAAAACTTACCAGGAAAGGTTAAAGGATCTTAACATGTATAGCTTGGAGGAAAGACGAGACAGGGGGGATATGATAGAAACATTTAAATATATAAAGGGAATCAACACAGTAAAGGAGGAGACTAAATTTAAAAGAAGAAAAACTACCACAACAAGAGGACATAGTCTTAAATTAGAGGGACAAAGGTTTAAAAATAATATCAGGAAGTATTACTTTACTGAGAGGGTAGTGGATGCATGGAATAGCCTTCCAGCTGAAGTGGTAGAGGTTAACACAGTGAAGGAGTTTAAGCATGCGTGGGATAGGCATAAGGCTATCCTAACCATAAGATAAGGTCAGGGATTAATGAAAGTATTTAGAAAATTGGGCAGACTAGATGGGCCGAATGGTTCTTATCTGCCGTCACATTCAATGTTTCTATGTTTCTATCTTAATTACTACTATAAAATAGTGACTGACAATTAGGTTGGAGTTATAGAAGCAGAATAGAAAAATGGTCAGTGCTTATCCTACAAGAACCAAATCTGCTTCTTTTTGACATGCTAAGAATTATGTTACCATATATAGGAATTAACATTTCCACCAGTTCTCAGAGTTCCTTTAGTTTAGAATTCTTATTATGTAAACAATCACATGTTCATATAAAAAAGTAGGTGAACATCAAGGTCATGCAACATCCAGAGGACTGAGATGATGACATCATGGAGGTGAACATACATACCATGATATACCAAATCAATATGTGTGGCTGGGGAACTCAAGGTCAGGTGCGGGGGAACACAAGACATAAACCCTACTATAAATTTGCAGGTATATGTAATTATCTTCATTGTTTATTTGAAAGATATTTCTTTTATTAAGATAACTGTTTTTTTTTTAATATTTTTTTTGAGAATGCCAAGCAAGGACATATATTTATACTACACATAGTATAGCGTAAGATAAGGCAGTCATAGACAGTGGGACCAAGCATTGGATAGTTTAAAAAAAAACTTAGACCATCTCTTATTTTACATGGTTACATAGGCTGAACAAAGACTTGTGTCTAAGTTCAGCCTTTTCTCACATCCGTTTTTTTTTTTTTTTGCTGTTGATCCAAAAGAGGCAAAAAAATCCCAGTTTAAAGCGCTTTCCAATATTGCAACAAACTAAGAAAAATTCATTCTTCACCCCAGAATAGCAGTCAAGTTGTTACCCCACATATTAAAAACTACATCCCTAAATTTTATGTTTTTGCACGTATTCATCCAGTTGCAGTTTACACAGCTGTCAGACTCTAAAAAAAAATGTCTCTTCACGCAGAGAATTCCACAACCTTGTTGTTCTTTCCTTTTTTTCCTTTTGTCTTGGACTAAATCTCCTTTCTTCCAGTCTAAACACATGACCTTGTGTCCTGTGTATAGTCCTATTTATGAATAGATCTTAACCATTTTAGATATTGTTTTTTTTCTGTCTGGTAGCTCAGTTGGATGATAATAACAGGCATGTTGCCAATCCAGTGACAAAAGATCAATAATTAGTTTGTAACTTTGAGAAAGATCGTTCTAAATCCTACTGTGTCAGTTTGGTAATGTTTGTCAAAGTCTGTTTTATTCAACCCTCTATGAAGTGCTGTGGAATGCGTTGGGGCTATATAAATGATATCAATAATAATCATGTAATCTGTTCTTGCAGGCCAGCACACACAAATCCCCCTGTCCTACAGACATCGTACAATCATCTTGTTTGTCTAGTGGTGTTTTCCTGACATTTCTGCTTCTGCAGACAGTGTGCAGTATGATATACATGTTATTCAGGTGAGTGATTTCTCATTGGAACTGGTAAATAAAAAACATTCCTTAGAAGACAGGTTACTCCGTTCTTTTACTGTGATGATTCAGTTATCTTATGGCTCTATCCCTATGACTAAGCAGGCTGTCGGTGGATGTTAGTTAAAGGAACAATCTGGTCACCATAACAAGTTTATCTAAATGATGTTGTTATGGTGTCAGGAGACCTTTGACCGCTCTTTGACTAGAGCTGTCAGCCGACGCTCTAAGCCAATCATTGATAAAAAAAAAAAAGGTGCTCCTGCCCGGCGTCACTCTGCGCTTCCTGTAACTCAGATTCAGAAGCCGGATATCGCATGGGGAACCTGGAGCTGGAAGTAACCTTTCGGGTTCTTACCCTTAAGCTAAGAGTGCACCTGGTTGCTTCCTGGCACCATAACAACTTTATTTAGATGAAGTTGTTATAGTGTTCGGAGTGTCCCTTTACTGTGGGAGGAGGAATGTTTGAACACTTGGTATAGTGCATGTTTGTTTGCCCTCTACCACATAGAATATGCACTTCTCTAATGGCTTAGCTGTCTCCATTATACCTGGACATACCAAAGATAGACAACTTTACAAAAAAAAAAAATAAAAATTCTGTAGCAACTCACAATGAATGTAGATGTTCTAAAATGTTTAACCCTCTAAAGACCACAATGTGGTCCCTATAAGCCCTTCACTAGTATATATCCTGCATTTGTTTAATGAGAGCTAAATTCCATTTTCCTTTATGATCTTTGTCACTCCCTTTTCTGACCTTTCCTAAGACAGGTGATAATGTGATTCTGTGTACCTGTTTCTTTTATGAGACCCAAGCCCTCATACAGTGGAAGTCATGGGATTGAAATCAGACTCCGAAGGGATATTGCTTTGACACAGTGCCTCCGCCTATAGGGACAATTATTAGGGTGTCGGATCCTATAAGATTCTAGTGCTGAAAATGCAATTAACCACAAATATTAATCTTCAAATATAATGTTGAATTGCTCATTAGAATTGTGTGTAACCAAATAACATACAGCATTACATAAAAATTAATATATTATCATATATTGTTCATGGTCCCCTTCTATTTTCTCTTATGCTGCCTCTCTTGGTAAACTTATTGCCTCCTTTTGGATTCCACTACCACCTGTACACTGATGACACCCAGATATATCTCTCCTCCCCGGACCTCTCCCCTGCTGTCCTGCAACGTGTCACTGCTTGCCTTTCTTCCATCTCTGACTGGATGTCCTCCCGCTTTCTGAACTTCTTGTCTTTCCTCCTACTAATATTGATCCTGCTCTCTCACTCTCCCTTCAACTTGGAGGTACTCACATCAGTCTATCCTTACAAGCGAGCTGTCTTGGTGTTATATTTTATTCTGGCCTCACCTTTGAGCCTTACATCCAGTCTGTTGCCAAATCCTGTTGATTCCATCTTAAAAACATAGCCCGCACCCGCCCCTTTCTTGCAAAAGATGCTACTAAAGAGCTTGTTCGTGCTCTAGTAAGCTCTCACATGGACTATTGTAACCCTCTCCTGATTGGTCTTTCCAGAAGCTGCATTGCCCCACTACAGTCTATAATGAATGCTGCCGCCAGATTGATTTTCCTCTCTAGTCGGTCCTCTCACACCCCTTTGTCAGTCCTTACATTGGCTTCCTGTATCCTATAGGAGTCAATTCAAAGTGCTAACCCATACCTATAAAGCACTGAACAATAGCCCCTCTTATATCTCTTTACAGATCCATAGGTATGCCCCTTCTCGGTCTCTCCGCTCTGCCCGTGACCTTCTCCTGTCTGCTGCTCGCACCCATACAGCCAACTCACGCTTGCAGGACTTTTCGCGGGTGGCTCCTTTCCTTCCCAGCAGCCTGCCTACCCCCATCAGACAATACTTTAAAAAGTGCCTCAAAACCCATCTCTTTAGGAAAGATTATGGCCTCCCAGAGTAACCTCTTCCTTACATACCTGTCTCTTGCTCTCTCTTCTTAAGGGCAGCACTCTCCTCTCTCCTCCAACTCGGCTTCATTCCCACCTTATTTGATTGCTATCTCCTGTCCTGTTGTGTTTTACACCCCACCTCCTATAGTCTGTAAGCTCATTTAAACAAGGTCCTCTTTAACCTATTGTTCCTGTAACATTTTGTAATTGCCTAATTTATTGTTAATTCTCCCCCTCCTATAATATTTTAAAGCGCTATGGAATTTGTTGGCGCTATATAAATGCCAATAATAATAAACAATAATATAGTTCTTAAGGGGACAATATAGTCACCAAAATAACATTAGCTTAATGAAGCAGGTTTTGTGTATAGATCATGCCTCTGAAGTTTCACTGCCACATGATATCCGCAGTGAAAATGTTTTTGTGTTAAAAACTACCACCCCCAAAAATATGAACATTAGCTTTGGGTAGGGTTTGTAAGTGGCTACTAAAAATAGACAGGACATACCCCATGCTGAATACCCAGGGTTGTCCCCTTTTGCTAATATTTTGCAATGATGGGGGTAGGAAAATTTCCTAATTTCTCACACTTTTTTTTATTTTATCCATTTTAAATTGTATTCCTTATAACTTATCCAATATAACTATTTGATGAGAAATGAAAGCCCCGTTTCTCCAGAACATAATGATATATAATAAATTTTGATGCACTTAATATGAAAGAGGTAAATTATATTTGAACAGACATATAGCGCAAATATTAGGGGTTCAAACAGATGGAATCCATTTTGGGGGGCTGTAAGGCTATAGTAACATTTTCAAGACAATAAGCAAAATAAATAAACAAATCTAAACCTTACTGCTAGTTTTACACCAGCTAATTCTCTCTGGACACCAAATATTATTATTCTATTAAATGCTTTCTAATGGTAAATGACGGAGCCAGCTAAGGTCTGTATGTGATAAATAAACCTGTCAGCGTGGGTGGTGTGTTTGCTGTGCGATGCTGCCTCTTTGGCACTCAAAGCCGTACATACATCTGCCATGTTTCACTGCTATGATGGTAGCTCAAAGGAGAGTGGAATAAACAAGATGAATGCTGGAAAGAAAACATACCTTAAATGTGCACCATATAACCCAAAAAAGAAAGTAAAAATAGAAATAACTTTTGGTTACATGGCCAAGAATTTGGGTAACCCTGGCCAGCCATGGGGCTTGAAGGTGTGGGAGGTCATGATTAACAAGGCTATTTACTAATGTTTACAAAATAAACCAAATTGTTATAGCTATACCGCCAGTGTATAAAGTGGAGCGCTTAAAGAAACACTTACGTTACAGGAAAACTAGACAAAAAGGAAGTCGATATAGTGTAGTATATTAAGCTGGCTCTAGGTGTATACACTAGTGTGCCTCTAGAGGAAGGTACAACTCTTCTTGTAGAGCAGATGGAAGATGGAGTTCACCAGATGCCATTTGGCAAATTTAAAATTTATTAAAATATACTAAAATTAAAGCAATTCAAATTGAGATATGATACACAAAAGTACGCAGGTGCTGCTTCCTTCCGAGACACGTTTTGCCACTCTCGGTAGCTTTTCTCAATCGATGTAACCTGCTTCTGAGTCCAAGTTCTTTTGAACCGAGATGTTGCAATCCCATTGGTTAATGCGCTCGTAATTCAGCCATTCACAAGCGCTATCTGTGAGCGGAGTTCCTTCCTTGGCTATTTCCAATCAGCCAAATTCAGTTGAATTTGAAATTCATTTTGAATTCACTTTCAATTCAATTACCCTGTAACTTGTGACAAGGGGACTGTGTATTCCCTGGTCCCCTATTGGATGACTCAAGTCAAAGGGCTTGGAGACCTTCTGGCCCTATTCCTATTAGGGGATTGGGCAACTAATTAAAAAGGCTCCCAGCAATGAAGCATCATCCATTTTAACCCAATGCTGTTTCACCATCACTCTAATAGAGAGAGCCTGATATTTAAAACACCATGTATTCACTACAACAATTTAAATGTATTCCTCTTCAATTATGTGCTATATAAATTTATAGACCGATACTAGGTAGGTAGATATGCTAAATGATATATGACAGCAATGCAAAAAGAGCGACTACTAAAAACAATTGGTGCGCAAAGCAATATTCGATGCATAAAACTTTTGCAACTTCAAGATATCTTCCATTGATAGACAAACTTTTAAAAACACAAGAATATGTAGTGATAATTAATATATTAAGAATGGAACTTGACACATTTATTAAAGCGGCCATAATAAAACCAAAAGTAGTAAGAACGTATTGGAAGCAGAGTTTGTATGCGGTGATAAGTTCTATATAGAGAGTCATTTACTACAGTGTAGCCCTCTCACAGTCTTCCTGGTTCTCTGTGTCTCTACCCAGCAGTCCTTTGTGATTCCAGTATAGGTAACAGCACCCACAATATGTTGGCTCCACCCACATTGTATTTTTCTTCATATGTAGCCAGTGTAAAGCAACGTTTTGAAGCAGAAGAAGCTTATATCAAAATTATTCAACCCCAATGAAGATCAGGTTTATTGTCAAATTTTAGACTTGCATCTGTTTGCAATGAACAAATCAAGCAAAAGCAATTGAAATAGCTCAACACAACGAACGCTTCAAGTGGTTTTCCCCAATTCAACTGAAAATGAAATAATTTAACCCCCTGAATAGAATCCCTCACAACAGCACAAATATGCAAAACATGTGTTGTCTCAAGTATACCTGATGCAACTAATCGAGGGCCTCATTAGTTGCAGCAGGTGTGCTTGAGCTGGAACACTTGAAATACCTGAATTTGCTAGGGGTTTGTTGAGTGTCACATTTGACTGCATGTTGGAAGTATGGCTAAATCAACAGAATGGTCCCCAAAGTTGAGAAGAGATCATTGCCCTTCACAAACAAGGAGCAGGATACAAAAAGATAGCAAAGGCACTGAATGTTCCTAGAGACACCGTTGGAAGTATAGATTGCAAGTTCAAAGTTGAAGGAACAATGGTTACACTATCTGGACGGGGCAGTAAAGAAAGCTATCAATGGCTGAAACCAAATTTCTCAGAAGGCAGGTTGTGAAAAATCCTTGAGTGACTGCAAAAGACCTGCAGCAAGACTTGGTGGCAACAGGCACTGAGGTTTCAGTGAGCACAGTAAGGCGTGCATTAAATACAGAAAGTACACCACTACTGACCCAAAAGCTCCAATCTGCTCCAAATCATATAAACAAGCCACAGATGTTTTGGGAATCTGTTCTGTGGAGCGATGAAACAAAACTGAAACTTTTCAGGGAAATGGATCAGCGGTGTGTCTGGAGGGAGAAGAGTGAAGCCTACACTGGAAAGAACACTCTGCCTACAGGTAAGCATGGTGGTGGCCTGGTGATGCTTTGGGATTGCTTTGCATCCTCTGACACTGGAAACCTGCAGCATGTGAAAGGCAAGATGGATTCACTGACGTATCAGGAAATCCTAAGAGAAAACATCATGCCGTCTGTAAGAATCCTTCTACAACCATACATCTTTTCCTCCAGGAATGTTGCTAAGTTCCAGAAACATCTGGGGCTTGTGAAGAAAAACTTCATGGCCCTTAAACTAATAGAGAGTTGGTGATATATGTGTTTGTCCATTACCTCTACCCGTAATATGTGTGTTGGTGACTATCTCCGGGACCTCAACGAGTGCATAGCCAGGTAGTGAACGCCATTCTACCACACTAAGCAAAATTCTGTTCCCGAGCACTCCTTCCAGACCATCACAAGTGGGGCATCACCCACTTCCCCTAAGTAGCCCGGCAGAGCGTTATACTACTGATCTTTCTTATTATAACCGGCTGTTGCTTTGAAAGCAGCTTAAAGATGTAAATTTAAAAAAACAAACAAACAAAAAAAAACATTAGTATCTTCTTTCTTCTCCAGGCCAGCAGTCCCTCTCCTAGCAAAACCTGTGTTTTCCTCATATACCGAACATCCAATTTGCTTTGGCAATCCAGGGAAACTGCAAATTCGTAATGTTTTCTAAGAGACGCAGAGCTATGAGCCTATCATATACAGTGATACCGAGCATTGTTTCAACATTCTAACATTATCACACATCTCTTTTTGGTTTACTGAACAAACTGTACCAAGTGAAAAGGAAGAGGCTGCTCAGCGGAGACACCTGCCAGAGCTCATTTTAATATATTCTGGTCACAGATGGTGTTATATTTAAGGGTTCAATCTGTAGAGAGAAAATCACCCCTCCCTCTCTTCCCATCCAATCTGCAAAAAAGTCTCAGCTCTGCATCCTTTGCTTCGACAAAGACCAAAAAGCCAAGGATTAGAAGGAATTTGGAAGAAAGGCATTTTTCTCCACCTAACTCCTCATTTTATTGAGGTTAATGCTACAGAATAATTGTACTGGATATTCAAATAATATTTTATAGGAACAGTATAAGCACTATGGTCGCAATAACACATTGTATCAGCTATAATTCAAGGAAGATGTCCCTGAAAACGTACCTTTCGTGTCCCCAGCATCATATTCGGCATCTGATTCCTCCTTCACTCACAATGACATGATGATGAGAATTGTGGCTCGCCCATTAGAGTTGGAGTTACAGAATTAGGGTTATAGGTTTATCTATCTCCTACTTGGGCCTTCCCTGTTCTAACCCTGACATTCTCTCTAACTCAACTCCTAACATTAATTAAAAGCCTAATTCTTTACCTTCCGGCCCTAAAGGGGGAGCTAGAATCCTCATCATGTTAGTGGGGATGAGGGTGGAATCAGGTGCAAGATATGAAGCTGGGAACACAAAAGGTAAGTTTCGGACACAGCTTCCTGGAATTATAACCGATACAATATGCTGTTGCGACCATGGGTGCAAGGAGGTTTGATAAGGCAAGGAAAACATAACGGTACATCAGAGGGTGAGAGATGTTGGAGAGAAGCAAATAAGAGGTGAGTGAAACTGTTTGACAAACTTTTTTTTAAATGCCCCTAGGTAAGTACCATGGACAAGGGGGTCTTCTTTCGACAAATATATACTTTTGCGTAGTGGTTTTAGATTTGATGACCATTGTAATGCTTAAAGTGAACCTGTAGTAAAAAAAAAAATCTTACCTGAAATGCTCCCATTTACAATGAATATACCATATTTAATGTAAAATATTATTTTATTCACCTTTACATTCCAGCCCACTTTGTTAGTGTTACTCTTCGTGTAACAACCACCCCCAGGCTGTCCTGATCGTCTGCTCTCTTCTTTGATTTGCCCTGCTTAGGCATCACACAGGACAAACCTGCAAGTGATGCATGTACGCCAGATGATCTCCCCTTAGGAAGAATCTGAAAATCTGTTAGATAGCCACTGAGGGCAGACTTACTGCTGCAATGTGAACATTGCAGTTTTTCTGGAACTGCAAAGTTTTACATTGCAGCACCAGGGGGGGGGCAATGGGGCAATTGCCCTCTCCCCCCCGAGAAAACCAAGGGTCTCCCTCTCCCCTGCCAGCTCATGCAGGCGCCAGCCCTGCAATGTGCCTTCATGGACCGGAGGGGAGATCAGAGATCTCCCTCCCTGGTCCGCAGGCACTGTGCTGGCAGCTGGCGGGGGGAGGGAGAGAGGACCCGGGAGCTGAAGCTGCTCCTGGTCCTACTCTCGCGAGCATGGAGCGTTGCTGCGGTTACCGCGGCAACACTACAAATCTCGTGAGAGTGAACTCTAGCCCTGGAGCTACGGGCTAGAGTTCACTCTCACCATTGGGCCACCAGGGAATCCCCACCGGACCACCAGGGATCGAAATAATGTATATTTATTTTAATTAAATTTAAAAAAAAACAACACACATATTATAAAAAAGGCCCCCTACCCTTCTTATCTCACACACACATACACTGCCCCCCATACACATACACTGCCCCCCATACACACACACTGCCCCCATACACATACACTGCCCCCATACACACATGCCCCCCCATACACACACATTGCCCACACTCACACATACACTGCAATCCTCACACAAACACACTGCAACTGTTACACACACATACTGTCCCACACATACACTGCATCCCTGACATACACTGCCGCCCTCACTCACACACTACAACCTTCACACGCTGCTCACACACTGTCCCCCTCACACACACAAACACACACACACACTGCACCCCTTACACATTGCACCACTCACACACACCACTGCTCCTATGCCCTACTACAGCCCCATTTCCCAGCAGACCTCAGGTAAATTGTCAAACTGTTCTTAAACTGTTTGAGTACTTACTCTGGGAGGGGGTCCCGGCATTATTGACACCATTACCACTACACTGAGCTGTAGTGGTTATTGTGTCTGGATAATTTTTTTAAATAATCTACAGGTGCCCCTTCCGAGATCAGGCTCTGGATCCGCCACTGTGCAGCACTAAGTGCAAAAGGGTCACTGCACCCAGACCACTTCAATGAGCCGATTTTATCAAGGTAAATTTAAATAAGGCTCTTTTATGACATATCTCGATTGCACTGTGGGATCAGGATGTCATGTTTTTCTGCTGTATTAACCCAAAATGTCTTTGCCATTATGTCTCCATTTTTTAAGTCCATTCGGTTTTAAGAGGTTAGATCTTGTGGTTGTGAGATGTGTTGGGAATACATTAATCCACAAGAAATTCAAAAATCCAGAAAAATTAATCTCCAGAAGCATTATACTCACCTACCTGCTCTAAGTAGGTATTCTTTATTTAATTAAAAAGACTATTCTATAAAGTAAAAATTATGTTTTTCCTCTTTAGTTAATGTTGTCCTGAACACCTGCACAACTTATGGAGTTAGAAAACCAAAATCCTTTTTTTTTTTAACCTTTCTCTACATGCCCTCTATCCACTATCTCTCTCAGACTGCCTGCTTTTCTGTAATGTGATCCTCAAGGTGTGGAAAAATTCTGCAGAGGGTGTGTTGGTGAGACCATCTTAATTTAGCAGGTGTTAAGAATCCGAGGTGTGATAAAAAAAAAGGTGAAATAATTTGGATGTGAAAAATTGTCACATTGTTGCATTGCGTGGGATGAGATATGAAGACATCATGCTTTGTACAATGGCAGAAAGAGAGATGCATGCTTTATTATGCTCTAATATATACAAAGGTAAATAGAAATCTACATTTAGTATCTTAGACCAGGTCGCTTTCTTAATTCTCAACATTATAGGAGTTTGATTCTCTTACAATAATAATAGTATTTATATGTTAAACAGGAGAACAAATACAGTTTTATTTGACATTTCCTTATTTAGGTGTGCAAGGTCATTGCCTATTTAATAATTAGGCCATGTTCATTAAAGGGACACTATAGTCACCAGAACAACTACAGCTTAATGTAGTTGTTCTGGTGAGTATAATCATTGCCTTCAGGCATTTTCATGCAAACACTGCCTTTTCAGAGAAAACATTTCCTCTAGGGACACCTCCAAGTGGTCACTCCTCAGATGGCTATGGGAGGTGCTTCCTGGCTCAGTGTTGCACAGTAAGCAGCCCTGCCGTTCAGCGTCCCCACGCTCTGCATTTTCCTCATAGAGATGCTTTGATTCAATGCATCTCTATGAGGAGGTGCTGATTGGCCAAAACGGCATTTGGCCTGCCCCCTTGCCGATTTCAGCCAATGCGATGCTTTCCCCATGGGGAAAAGCATTGGATTGGCTAAAAATCAGCAATTCTGATGATGTCACCAAGGGGGCAAAGCTAGCACCGTCACACCCGTGCAGCGCTTGAAATAAGGTGAGTTTTAATTGCTTTAAAGGGGGCTAAGGAGGGCAAGCCACCTAAATGGTGGGTTTAGCACTATAGCGTGTTCCTGACCCTATTGTGTTCCTTTAAGGCAAATGTGGAGCAATTCTGGTGCAAAGTGCTAGATATGGATTAAGCATCTAATCTAATCTACTCCACGGCAATAACAAGGCAATTTTATTCTACAATTTACTTGTATCTATGGTTACTAATGATTTCTGAAAATTATTTTGCTCAAAAAAACTGTCAAATTTAAATATTGATTTCTCTATTTCTTCATTAGCAAGACTAATTCAACCACTAAAAAGTTCTACTGAAAATGAGAAGGTTATATATCGGAATTCCGTCATCCATGGAAGCAAGATACCAAAACCACAACTGAAACAGATTGTCTGCCACGAATAGGTGAAGGGATTCTTCACCATAATTCAATAGTTATGTTTGATATAGAAACTAAATAACTATGTTTATATATACATTTTAAATTACTTTAGTAAAATATTAACCTTATTTGTGTGTCATTAATGCTCATTTAATTAAATGCTACATTATCCTGTTTTCCATGTGCATTGTCTACAAATCAACTTACTGATCCCTATAACATCTCCTATTACTCCATATAACCTCTTACTATAACTCCTCTTATCACACCATATAACCTCTCCCTATAACTCCTCCTATTACTCCATATATCCTCTCTCTATAACTCCTCCTATTACTCCATATAACCTCTCCCTATAACTCCTCCTATTACTCCATATATCCTCTCCCTATAACTCCTCCTATTACTCCATATAACCTCTCTCTATAACTCCTCCTATTACTCCATATAACCTCCCTATAACTCCTCCTATTACTCCATATAACCTCTCTCTATAACTCCTCCTATTACTCCATATAACCTCTCCCTATAACTCCTCCTATTACTCCATATAACCTCTCACTATAACTCCTCCTATTACTCCATATAAACTCTCTCTATAACTCCTACTATTACTCCATATAACCTCTCCCTATAACTCCTACTATTACTCTATATAACCTCTCCCTATATCTCCTCCTATTACTCCATATAAACTCTCTCTATAACTCCTCCTATTACTCTAACCTCTCCCTGTAACACATCCTATTATTCCATATAATTCCCCCTTTAACGCCTCTTATTACTCATATAACATCTCATAGAAACAAAGAATGTGACGGCAGATAAGAACCATTGGGCCCATCTAGTCTGCCCAATTTTCTAAATACTTTCATTAGTCTCTGGCCGTATTTTAAGTCTAGGATAGCCTTATCTTATAGTTAGGATAGCCTTATGCCACTCCCACGCATGCTTAAACTCCCACACTGTGTTAACCTCTACCACTTCAGCTGGAAGGCTATTCCATGCATCCACTACCCTCTCAGTAAAGTAATACTTCCTGATATTATTTTTAAACCTTTGTCCCTCTAATTTAAGACTATGTCCTCTTGTTGTGGTAGTTTTTCTTCTTTTAAATATAGTCTCCTCCTTTACTGTGTTGATTCCCTTTATGTATTTAAATGTTTCTATCATATCCCCCCTGTCTCGTCTTTCCTCCAAGCTATACATGTTAAGATCCTTTAACCTTTCCTGGTAAGTTTTATCCTGCAGAGAGTGTGTTAGTGTGTAGCGGATGCAGAGTGTGTGTTAGTGTAGTGAATGCAGAATGTGTTAATGTGTAGTGAATGCAGAGAGTGTGTTAGTGTGTAGCGGATGCAGAGTGTGTGTTAGTGTAGTGAATGCAGAGTGTGTGTTAGTGTAGTGAATGCAGAGTGTGTTAATGTGTAGCGAATGCAGAGTGTGTGTCAGTGTAGTGGATGCAGTGAGTGCGTTAGTGTGTAGTCTATGCAGTGTGTGTGTTGTGTTAGTGTATGCAGTGTGTGTGTAAATGTGCAAACTAGGGGGGGATGGGCATTTTCCCATTAATTTTTTAAATTTTATATTAAATTTAATTAAATGTTTCTCCCCCCTCGCTGCTTACCCGTGTCCATGGAGGGGGGAGATTCCATGATCCCTGATGGTCCGGTGGCATGGGGGGCCCCCCGGCTCCCTGTAACTGCAGAGGAGGCCCAGCAGACTTCCTCTTCTCTTCTCCTCTCTTCTAATAACTCTTGCGAGATCCACGTAGCATTGCCATGGTAACCGGGTCTCGCAAGAGTTATTAGAAGAGAGTAGAAGCTGTGTGCTGGGCCCCCTCTGCGCTAACAGGGAGCCGGGGGCCCGCGGCTGCACACATAGATAGCGATATTCCCTATTTATGTGTACAGAGAAAGAAAGTGGTCATGGTTGTCAGCCCCTGATGGCGGCCCTGTGAGCACTTCCCTCTTTCTACTGCTAATACCTCTCTCTATACAACCAAGCATTCTGCTAGCATTTCCTGCTGCTTTATTATACTGTCTGCTGACCTTTAAGTCATCTGAAATTTTAACCCCTAAATCCCTTTCCTCAGATGTTGAGGTTAGGACCCTATCAAATATTCTGTACTCTGCCCTTGGGTTTTTACGTCCAAGATGCATTATCTTGCACTTATCCACATTAAATGTCAGTTGCCACAACTCTGACCATTTTTCTAGTTTACCTAAATCATTTGCCATTTAGCTTATCCCTCCTGGAACATCAACCCTGTTACGTATCTTAGTATCATCAGCAAAAATACATACCTTACCATCAAGACCTTCTGCAATATCACTAATAAAAATATTAAAGAGAATGGGTCCAAGTACAGATCCCTGAGGTACCCCACTGGTTACAAGCCAATGCTTTGAATATACTCCATTAACTACAACCCTCTGTTGCCTGTCACTCAACCACTGTCTAACCCAGTGGTTCTCAAACTGTGTGCCACAGCTCCCTGGGGTGTCTCAACAGGCACACAGGGGAGCCACAAGATATTTTACCGGTTCTATGATTATATTATCCGCCACTGCCCCATCTTCCTATGGTAAAGCATTGGATTCTGATGATGTCCGCCAAGGAGGCGAGGTTGAAGCAGTGCCGACAGATACTGCCAGTGCTGGAATAAAGGTAAGATTTAACCCTACTTAAGGGTGACAAGGGGAGACGGCCACCTTAATAGTGTTTTTAACAGTATAGGTCAGGAATACACGTTCGTATTCCTGACGCTATAGTGTTCCTTTAAATTAAAGTTGATGTTAAAATTTTGAATAAAAGGCTTACGTTTCACGGGGAACATCATAAACGTTCATTAACAGAATATATTTACAAAATGAGGATATACGGCAGGACCTAAAATCAACTGTAAACATAAAATACTCTGACATTAGTTACTGAAATCATATTTTTAAGTACTTGTGTATTTTATGTTTAAAGTTTATTTAAGAAAGATAAAAGTTACACTTTAAAAATAATGCCCCTGATTTGATATTTTTCGAAATGCTTTTCAAATGATTTTTTTGTACACTTAAAATGATTTGATCTTGAAAATTATTTTAATATATTATTATTATTTTTTGATAAGTTTATATTTTTATATATAGATGATATATTTTGATAATTTAATATTTTGAAAAAATAAATACTTGAAAAGTTTACCCGAAAATATTAAATAATTTGGAAAGCTTATCCAAAATTCTTAAATCAAGGTCAATGTTTGCCCACCCATGAGTCTCATTTGGCAAGTTAATGATACCCCCATATAGATTCCAGGAGACTACAGGATGCCCTAGAAGTGTTCTTGGTAGTTTGTATAACATTCCCTCAGAGGTGTATGTTGCTAGTCAAGAATTCAAAGAATTTAAGCCAAAGTAGCCAAGCTGAGTTGTTGAATTTTTTTTTCCAATTCTGCTATTTATAATTTACTCTGAATTTACTTTGAATTTCTTAAAATTCACATTTTATCTAACAGGCAGAGAGTTAATATTCTCTAGCCAAAGTTTCCTTGTGCTTTGTGGTAATATGGAGAGACACAGCATACCAAGAACATGGTAATATGACATTAACAAGTGAACTTTAAATAAAACCATGTCTAGCCTTGGGTTATATAAAAAAAAATTTGGGGGGGGGGGAGGGTAAAACTATATTTTTCAAATGTCGACATGTGAGTTTACCCTGAGGAGTAGAGATTTATTTTGCTAATACAATAAAAAGTGACAGTTCTTAATACAGATATATGGGAAAGAAATTCCTATTGCATGTTTTCTCCTGTATGTAGTGTACCTCTAATGTAAAATATCATAGTTGCAATAAACAATAATACAGGTACATATACAAATAGTATTAGCCATTTTCTGATCTTGTACTACGTGGCTAAAATTTTGGAGTATGCAATTGATATTGAGTTACTAACTGCCAAGGTTATGTAGCCAGATCCCTTTTTAATATGATTTTCAGAACATTTCCATATTTGACCAATCAAGAAGAAGGAAAATGAAAATACAAAACTTACAAATAAAATAAAAAATAATCTGAGCTGTACATATAATGACCATGTCAAGTTAACTATACCAAATTACGTAGGAATAGTGAGCAAAGCAGTCCAATACAAGGGAAGACGGAGAAAGAAGGAAAGGTCTTGGGAAGCAATTTACAGAAATGATTTTAGTTTACATACTATATGACATTCGGAGACTGGTTCACTGAGCTAATGATGCAAGTGAGGAATGAGTCACCAAGCTAGAGCCATGCACATAATTTGTGCATAATTTGGGTCCCTATCAAAGAACAAGTGCCCTAAAACAAGCTGAACTTTTAAACTATTCCATCAGGCACACAAGTTCAATATGTTAATTAGAGCAATCTCGGTAGCCAATCCCTAGCTCTCTAGCTCTGTCCTTCATGCTTGATTGAAAGCAGATTTATTCCATCAATTTTCAAAAAGAAGACACAAAAAACTTTATTGTCACAAAGCACACGTATTTATAGGGACAATGATAACAGGCAGTCATCGACATTGACAATTGGTTCCCTCCCGGTGAACAATGTGTTGACTGTGCTTATGGGTGGGATCAGTCTGATGTGCAATGGTGTAGGTTCATAGTAGGTTCATATAGTTCTTTAATGGCAGACGTAAGCAAAAAACATTTTGAGACCTGAGCAGGGATTTACAGAAGGGCAAGCTATTTGGTTTCTCTAAGCTTTTCTCTCTTTTCAGAGTCCTCATATTTTCTGTTTTTTTGTTGCAATAAAGTGGTTAGGACCTACCAAAAGTGGTGCAAGGAAGGAGAAACCGGTAAACCGGCTTAAGTGCCATGGGCGCCCAAGGCTCATTGATGCATGTGGGGAGCGAAGGCTGGCCCGTCTGGTCCGATCACACAGAAGACTTAATGTAGCTCAAATTGCTGAAAAACATAATGCTGGTTGTGATAGAATAGTTTCACAAGGGGATGGTGCTTAAATAAATGGATTAAATTGCTGTGATCAACCCTGATTTTGCAGTTTAGCAACTACTTAAACTGCAAAGTGGGGGGGATCCATGACTCTGTTATTGAACTTTCCCTCGATCTCTGTAGCATGGAGCTCCAGATGCACCCTGTGAGACCTGAGATACAGCCGATCTCCCAGTCTGGAGCCACTGATTTTACTGAATATTCTTGTTTGTGCCTCATTTCTCCTACTCCCTGGACTGGGAGGTTATCCCAGTCCACACTTGATACTGAGCCCTACGTAGGCTGCATGTGTTCAAAGTGTCAACTTACCCAAGA